CAAAAATGGACACAATATTCAAGCTTGATACAGGTCTGAATTTGGATTGTAATTAAATATTTGACATACATCTATTATAGGTTTCTGAATAAATGTAGTCAAAGAACTTGAAGTTAGTTATATGAATTGAATTTATATTCAATTAAAGATTTCTTGCTGTTGTGCAATACTTAGTAAATCTGTTGTCAGACTATAAACAAATAAAATTTATAAAATTCTAAAGGGAGCTTACATCAATAGGTATAAACAGTTCACCAAAGTTTCATACGAATTGCTGAAAGCATTCTTGAGTTTTTGTCTGAAAACTGGAAAATCCCCCCTTTTTTAATGAATAAAGCCCATAATTCGGAAATGTAAAATCTAAAATTTATAAAATTCTAAAGGGAGCTTACATTAATAGATATCAACAATTCACCAAAGTTTCATGAGAACTGCTGAAAGCATTTTTGAGTTATTGTCTGAAAACTGGAAAATCCCCCTTTTTTTTTATGAATAAAACCCCATAACTCGGAAACGTAAAATCTAAAATTTATAAAAATCCAAAGGGAGCTCATATCAATAGATATAAACAATTAACCAAAATTACTTGCAAGTTGGTGAAAGCATTCTTGAGTTATTGTCCGAAAACTGGAAAATCCCCCTTTTTTTAATGAATAAAACCCCATAACTCGGAAACGTAAAATCTAAAATTTATAAAAAACGAAAGGGAGCTCACGTCAATAGATATAAACAATTCACTAAAGTTTTAAGCAAATTGGTTAAAGCGTTTTTGAGTTAATGTCCGACATGTTGACGACGGACGGACAGACGGACGTACAACGGTATACCATAATACGTCCCGTAAACGGGCGTATAAAAAGTACATTTCTAAATGTTGTATACTTTTTATTTCAGGTTTTGAAAAGAATGACTATTTATTTCCTTGTTGCAACCCTCAGAGACGTTTTTTAAAATATGACAAAGGTACAAAATTTTGGAATGCCACTGGAAAATGAGGGAATATTGGATAAAGATTGAAATTCAGCCTTGCAATAGTTGGTCACCTATGGACCCCTCAAAGAGTTGTTGCAAGAATTCTTAATTTACAGAGAGTCTGACACTCTCTCTCTACATGAGGCGTTGCATCAGATCTTACGTCCCACTTCTGACCAGACGTTGCTGAGAATTTATATACCTAGCACTGTATAACAGACGCCCCACTTTGGCAGGGATTTTACTCCAAATAGGAAGAAGACCAAGAGATTACATATTTCTATACCGCAGTCACCCTTGGGGTCAAGTCCTTTTAGATAAGTTTTCTTACGTTTCTTTTTTAATTACAACTAAATGGTAAATTTTATTATCATGTGTATGGAAACATTATTTCCTATTGGCTTTCATTCACAACTTTAATTTCCTTTAAATCCATACAGGCTCATAATAATTGGATGCAGGAGGGGTCTCCCAGTGTTGGGCCCCCTTCCTTTTTTAAATTATGTAAAGTTTCATGGTGTGTCTTTTCAAAATGGCTAGATCCGTGCCTGAGGCTAGTTTCTTGAAGGACGGAATATAATCATGTTTTTGTACTGTAAGGGAGTATTCTTCTGTAAACTTCTCTCTAAATCACATTTTATTACATCATATAAATACACAAAATACAGAAAACTTTACCTATTAATGTGGACATAAGTGTCACTCAGATTTTAATGCCATAATAAATCAAAACTTAAGATTTCAAACTTATTTGGTTTTAAATGATCTTAACTCTAATCAGCACAAGAAACAATGGAAGATATGTTTACTAGAATTGAAAATTAATAGTTTGGACCTGAAATTATGTTAAAATTTGACAAGTTTATTTAGAAAGATTTCAATGCGTCAATTTTAGCTCATTTCAGCAAAAGAAAAATGCATACTATTCAAAAACCAAAATAAACAGTTTCAAATGTAGAAAAATGTGCATTGGAATGATGGGGAGTGAAAAAACACATTGTTGAAGGCTATACAGGGCCTATAATTGCATACTACAAATTCATTTTAAGTCTAGTTGGACAGTTGTCTCATTGGCAATGAAAGTTGAAACTACATCTCTTCATTTCTAAATTTATAAAAATTTGGATTTATTTTGAAATTAAAAGTAATAGAGACAGATAGCTAATAGTCTTATGAAATGTGGGATGTTGAGATATTTTTTATTCTTATAATACCTTACTTACTAGGTAAGGAGTCAGCAGAAATATTATTTTAAAAAACACGTTTCGTCGTGCGCACTAAATTGGTATCAGCCAATAACTATGGGATAAAACGGCCTATAAAATTTTATATGTTACCTATAGAAGGTATAAACTATTTAATTAAAGAACAAATATTTATTCTTCTCTCATAAAAATGTGTTTAAAAAAAGTCATCTGTAAACTATATTATAAGCGCATTTATCTAAGGTAATCTAAATTTTATTTAAAAACTTGCTTTCTGAAATATATATAAAAAACATACACAAGACTTTTAAAGGGAGGTAAATATACATGTACATATATGTATAATGAAAAATTCATCTTTAAAATTTTCTAGTAAAGTTTTTGTAATTTGGATAATATTCTTTTAATTATTAGTATCATTTACAATTTAATTTTTTTTCACAAATTCTAACAAATTGTTTTATATATAGGATTTTAAGAGTTGTAACTTGTATTTATAAAATTCCATGATTTTTTTAATAATAATATTTTTGTTATTAGTATTACCAGAAGTTAAGGTTCATGTGGACCCTTTGGCTAAAATGGCTGCATTTTCACCTCATTATTTACTCTGAGTACAGACAAACCTGTGTATCTGGAAAAATGTTAAGGCATAGCATGCCCTAGATAAATAAAATTCAAATATATTTTATGTTTTAGAAAATTAAAAACTTAACAGGATTTTGCAGTGCACTTTTTTTCATTCCTCAAGAAGGTGCCAAAATAAACTAAGTTGTGAAAGAGGTTTGAGAACTTCCCCACAGGTAATAATTGACGTGAACTGGTATTGATTGACATGGACAATAGATGGACAATAGATACCTTACAATAATTGGTGATTTAAACTGTGTACCTGAGTGGACCATATCAAGTGAAACTCAACTGTTTGTTAATTTTATCATCTTCTACAGGGACGAAAAAAAGTGCACTGCAAAATCCAGTTAAGTTTTAAATTTTCTAAAACATACAATGCATTTGAATTTTATTAATCTAGGGCATGCTATGCCTTAAAACTTTTCCAGATACACAGGTTTGTCTGTACTCAGAGTAAATTTTGAGGTGAAAACGCAGCCATTTTAGCTAAAGGGTCCACATGAACCTTAAACATGTCATGGGCATGAAAATCCTATCACTAACATTTTATTTTAAATTGTGCAATAACAGCAGCATTTCATAAAAGACTCCTTCTCAGTTACATGTTACAGCAGATAGAAATGAAACTTTAGAAATTGACACCCGGCATGGATATAAGATTGAGTACAAGTAGCCGTAGACACCAAGTTGACAAACTGTTAGGTTCAGTTTCATAAAATTATTTTAAATCAAATGATATCCAGATTTCGATCTGGGTTTTTTTTTTATATAACCACTCTAATTAAAATTAAATTTCTATACTCACTCATTTTTAACGCTTAGTTGCTGGCGGTGATTTTATTTTAATTAGATTGTTATATACTGCTGACTTCATGAAGTAGACCTTTGAAGAATTTTATTTCTGGAATCATGAATTGAACTTAAAAATTATAACTTGAATTATTTTTCAGATTATTTTCTTTGTTGGGCAGAAGAACTGTTTTACAACATTGAAGACCAATGAAGAGTCGAAAAATAAGTGGTGTGTAGTCCATGATGATTTGAAACAGATTATTTCCCTTGTTGGGGAGTAGAACTGTTTTACAACATTGAAGTCAACAATTAGTGGAGTTTAGTCCATGTTGATTAAAAGACAATATTTCATTTGTATCAATTTATAAATTATTAATTGTCTTTTTGCTTCTCTTATTTGTACTTAAACTTGATGATAAAGCTTGAAATGTTTGAAAATTAAAGTTACACATAGTTTTTTATTTATTTCTCACCGTTGCTCTAGACTGCAGCGAAACAGTAATTATAACAGTATACTTCTAATCAAGGGAAATAAATCATATTCAATTTTTGATTTTAAAATCAGATTTGCATTTTGGGACAAGTTTCAAGAAAGTTCAATACGAGCCAGAAAAAAAACTGCATCCTGAAAAAAAATTGTCTAAAATTACCAAATCTAAATTCTAAACTAATAATGGGTCACAATCTTATAACAAAAATGCTTTTAAAGATATTTGGTGAAACTCAACTCTGCATGTCAGATTTTTCATGATTCTGGGGCACATGCTTCTTTTTCCATTTCTTATTCACACGAAATAGTTTTGTGGAATAAGTATAAAACATCTCTTTAATCTATTATCAACAGGGAAAACAGCCATTTTGTTGAATAAGTGACAACTTTTTTCCAGCAGCCACAAAAATGATAAAAAAATGGATGTTTTATACTCAAAAGAGATATGAGGTCTTGAGTAACAGCAAACATGCAAACAGACACTACAGACAAAAATAAACTTTATGTAGTCTTTGGGTTAACTCAGATACCAATCAATTTCAATGGCAATTTCTAGTGGCATGACGTAAACCAGACAATAAAATCTCACAAGAAGTCAGTGCTACATTAGCATTGGTTAAACCAAAAATAATATCACATAAAATTCAATAATCTGTTTCATGATTCAGAACAATTGTCGGAAAGAATGCAAATTGCTCTTGAAGTATAATTACAGCAATTATTTGGCATTACAATATCATCTAATGACACTATGACAAGGTTTAAAGAGAAATCACATATTTACAACATTCTGAAAACAAAAACTATGTTCAATTATCTTTTAAATGCTTAAAATAATAGCCATATATTGAGAAATGCAGTTTCAGGTTTTTTTTTTGCTACTATATATGAATAGTTATATGACATACTTGGGAATAGGCTGGGATGTTTCCCGCACTGGTCTGAATTTAGGTAAAGATGTATCCACCATATCACAAACCGATATATGTGCTTTATGTTGTATTATTGGCATCTGAAAAAGTCAAAAGCAAGTTTTGTTACCAAATTAAATGTATAGTAATTTTAAAGCTTTCATTGTATTTATACTGAACCATAAAGATGATTCATTAAAAATGATTATGTGAAGTAAAATTGTTGTAAAATAAGAGGATTACTTGTGACTATATGCTGATTTACAATGTAATTTTATGTTGTAATGTGAAATCTGCTATAGTACAGAGAGAAATTTCAGAGTGAATCAAACACATAATAAAAATCACTTTCTTGAAAAATCCCTATTTTGGGCAAAAAATCAGCGTACAACAAGTAAAATGTATATATAAAATTAACATTATCAATGATCCATGTAAATGGCATAAAATGCAGATGAACCCTGTCAGACAGACATGTATGCCTTACAATTATTCCATACACCAAATATAGTTGACCTAATGCTTAAAGTACCTGAGAAACAACACTAACCAAGAATCTAAACTTTTGACCAATGAATCATACACCAAATATAGTTGACCTAATGCTTATACAGCCTGAGAAACAAACCTTCCTATAAAAACTTAAACATTGACCAATGAACCATGAAACTGAGGTCAAGATCAGATGAACTCTGCCAGACAGAAATGTACACCTTACAGTCATTCAAAACACCAAATGTAGTTCATATATTGCTTATATGATCTAAGAAACAGACTAAAACACAAAAACTTAATATTGACTAATGAACCATGAAAATAAGGTCAAGGACAGATGAACTCTGTACAACATTCAATAAACCATAATAGCTGACAAGTGCATATTGTGTTTGAGAAACAGACTTAACCATGAAAACATAATATACATTGACCAATAAACTATGAAAACTAGGTAATGGTCAGATGGAACCTCCTAAACAGACATGTACGCTATACAATCATTCCATACACCAAATATAGTTGACATACCCCTTACAGTATCTGAGATATGGACTTGACCACAAAAACTTAACCTTGGTCAATGATACGTGCAGTAAGATGAACCCTGTCTGGTGGACATCTAGACCTTTAAAAGATGCCATATATACTAAATATAGTTATCCTATTACTCATAAGGAGTAGGTAAGAAATTCACATTACAAATAAACTATACTGTTTTTAACAGTCCCTAAACCATGAAAATCGAGTCAAGGAGAATGGACATATGACAGGCAGAAACTTTGTAACATAACTTAAATGTATACAAGGAATGAAGCATCCAGGTCTTCTATCCACTGTAATATAAAGCTTTATACAAATAGTTTAAGCCGCCCCCTTTGCATTGTTATCTCTATGTCTTGCTTTTGCATCTTTCATCGCAGGTGAGACAAAAATGAACACCATAACCTAACCATCTTATATCAAAACCAGTTGCTCAATGTCTCCCGATTCATTCTCTGAAGGTAAGAGAAAAACAAACAGCAAGGCATTTCAAGGAAAACATGCATACAAACGAAGATGAACAATAACTATCTGCACACTATTTCATTGCACATTGCATTGCTATTCTTTTCAATCGACAAAAAAACGCCAGTCTAAATTTCCTTCTTCAACATTGCTTTTCAATAGCTAACAGTGCAGTTTTTCAAAGCATCATCGGTGCTGTGATTCAGCCATTTATTTAGCTACGGCCGACAGACTGACATTTTTCTGATCTCATTTTTAATTAAAAAAAATTTATACAAGCTTTTGCAAGACATTTAAAGACAACCATCACTACTTTGATTAAGTGATTTTGGCTCAATATGTTAATTTGTGTTTAAAAAGAGAAGTAACCAAGGGACAATCAAACATCATATGTTTAAACAAAATTCAGATGACACTTGGATTGAATGTAGAACTTAATCATTTTCATTATTATTTCAGTAATAAAAGAACAGAGTTCCAATGTCCCCCGCGGTGCACATATTTTATATTTCTAAGGGGCATAACTCTTTAATAAAAGTTGATCGTCCACCATTATAAAACTTGTCTGAGATACTGCTGATATTAACCTATAGTATAAGTTTTATAAAAATCTGGCAAGAATTGTACCCGTGAGAGCCCTAACGAGGCAATTTTCCATAAATGTAATATTTCCAAGGGCATAACCCTTTAAGAAAAGTCGATCGGCCACCATTATAAAACTTGTCTGAGATATTGCTGATATTAACCTATAGTATAAGTTTTATAAAAATCTGGCAAGAATTGTACCCGTGAGAGCCCTAACGAGGCAATTTTCCATAAATGTAATATTTCCAAGGGCATAACCCTTTAAGAAAAGTCGATCGGCCACCATTATAAAACTTGTCTGAGATATTGCTGATATTAACCTATAGTATAAGTTTTATAAAAGTCTGGCAAGAATTGTACTCGAGAGTGAGTGCTAACGAGGCCATTTTCCATAAATTTAATATTTCCAAGGGCATAACTCTTTTTAAAAAAGTCGATCAGCCACCATAACAAAATTTGTACGAGATATTGCTGATATTAACCTATAGTATAAGTTTTATAAAAATCTGGCAAGAATTGTACCTGTGAGAGCGCTAACGAGGCCATTTTCCATAAATGTAATATTTCCAAGGGGCAAAATCCTTTTAAAAAAAGTCGATCGGCCACCATTATAAAACTTGTCTGAGATATTGCTGATATTAACCAATAGTGTAAGTTTTATAAAAGTCTGGCAAGAATTGTACTCGAGAGAGTGCTAACGAGGCCATTTTCCATAAATTTAATATTTCCAAGGGCATAACTCTTTTTAAAAAAGTCGATCAGCCACCATAACAAAATTTGTCCGAGATATTGCTGATATTAACCTATAGTATAAGTTTTATAAAAATCTGGCAAGAATTGTACCTTTGAGAGCACTAACGCGGCCATTTTCCATAAATGTAATAATTCCAAGGGGCATAACTCTTTTAAAAAAGTTGAGATATATTGCTGATATTAACCTATCGTATAAGTTTTATAAAAATCTGGCAAGAATTGTACCTGTGAATGCTATCAAGGCCATTTTCCATAAATTTAATATTTCCAATGGGCTTAACTCTTTTAAAAAGGCCATTTTCCATAAATTTAATATTTCCAAGGGGCATAACTCTTTTTAAATAAACTGCTTCGACGAGCGCAGCTGGATACGACCGAAGCTGGATACAACCGCAGAGGTCCAACCCTGAACAGTTGCACAATACTTAGTAAATCTGTTTTCAGACTATATACAAAGAATTAGCAAAATAAATTGTGACCCCTAATTTTTTTCTTTGAAAAATTGACAATTTCTTAAATCTTGAGGGAAAAAAATTGACCCCTCCAAAAAAATTTTTATTTTACCCCCCTCCAAAAAAAATTATATTTGAAGAAAATTTTCTTTGGAGGGAGAAAATTGCCCCCTTTTCCAAAAATTTTTTTGCTTTTGTGCAATACACCATTGCTGTTGCGTATTGTTGACCCCCCCCCCCCCCCCCCTTTTATTTTGCAAAAAAAAAAAATATTTGAAGAAACTTTCTTTTTAATTTCTGAAATCTGAAATGAGAAAAAATTGCCCCACCCCAACAATTTCTTTTTAAACCCCCCCCCCCCACAATTTTTTTTCACCTCCCCCCCTTTTTCCAAAAAAAAAATTCTTTCCCTCAAGATATAGTCATAATCTCAATTCAAATTTCCAATGGAGTTTGCAACCATAATTACCAATTTAAATACAACATAAAAGTCTTAAAATAGAAAATGACATACATAATCATGGCTAAAATTAATATTCATTTAATAGTAACTTCTAAAAATTAATTGACAGCTAATCACCTCAAGACAATACAACATCTTTATACATAATTTAAAAGCAATGTAAGGGAGGTAATCCAACTTTTTTTTTAATACTTTAAATGTATTTGGATTACCTCCCTTACACTGCTTTTAAATTGTCCATTAACCAGGAAACCCTTGTTTTTCCCTCTTTTTTGCCCCTAATTCCTAAACAGTTTGAGCCATAACCCCCCAAAGTCAATCCTAACCATCCCTTTGAGGTATGGAAACTTGTGGTATGGAAACTTGTGGTATAATTTCAGAGAGATTCATACACTAACACACAAGTTATGTCTGGAAGTAACAAAAATGCTTATTTATGGCCCCTTTTTGGCCCCTAATTCCTTAACTGTTGGTACCATAACCCCCAAAATCAATCCCAACCTTCCATTTTGTTGTATTGAACCTTATGGTAAAATTTCATAGAGATCCATTCACTTAAACTAAAGTTAGAGTGCGAAAACCAATGTGTCTTCGGATGACGACGACGCCGACGACACCAACGACGACGAGGCCAACGTCATACCAATATAGGACCACAAAATTTGTTTGCGGTTGTATAACAAGTTATTGTCATGAAACTAGAAAAATGCTTGTTTTGTCCCCTATTTCCTAAACAGTTGGGACCATCACCCCCAAAAACAATACCAACCTTCCTTTTGTGGTATTGAACCTTTTGTTAAATTTCATAGAGATCCATATCTATGGGGGGGGGGGGGGGGGGGGGCAAAAAATAACCAGTGTTACTTTTTTTTTTTTTTTTAAATCACCCCTTTCAGTTCATGAATTTCTCAGTAAAAATGTACTTTTTATATGGTGCTTCTGACATTCAAAGTGATCAAAATCACTGATGGAAAGACTGGAAAAGTTGTGTGCATAATTTCAAATCATTTTCTCATGGTATTGTGGAAAACAAAAACAAAAAACTTGATATACCACTCTTGCATTAAATTCAGAAAGATAATTGTATTCAAATATACATGTACAATTATACAATACACTGTTAAATAGGGATATAATGGGGAATAAACAAATAAATTTGATTGCAGAAAATCCCAAGGTTAGAGTTATGCAATTTTGTTTATTGTTTCAAGTTAGTTAATGATAAGTGTAACTTAATTTAACATAAATTATTGACTAATATCAGATGATTATATCACTGATTTTACAAGTAGAATAGACCCTGCTTACAAAATAATGTTATGTACAGTGTAGATCAAAGGTGATTATAGGTCTACTATTGAGGTCAATATTATTGTGTATTCAATAATGTAATACATGAAATATTAACTGTGACAAATTAAGATTCGCATTTAAGTGGAGGTGATTCCAATTTATATTCCCACCTTTGAGTGAAAGTATTTGTAAATAATGACAGTTGTCTATCATACTGTATTGTATCAGTACTCTTATTTGCCTAAGAAAAAAATTGGAATAAAAGCATTTCAAAAAAAGTGTGAGAATCAACTTTGATATCACATCTTGTACCAAATTTTATTCAACTACTTACATAAGCATAAGATATTGATAAAATACTTTCATAATTCTCATCATGATCAACTGCTTGAATTATATATATTACTTTTTCACATGAATTAATAAAATAGTAATTTATTATAAATTTTGATTTACAAAGGAATTACAAATGTATATGCAAGTGTATATCTGAAATAAAGAAACTGTTCAATCAATCTTTTCTTAATTTGAGGGCAAATAACATGTCAAAAGTTGGCAATAAATGATCAAAATGGTGTATAAAGTTTCCGCAAGTCATAAAAACACATAATTAGTTTCATGATATGTCTTCAACTTAGAATTCTGCACCATCTCCAAATCCGGAGTGATCACACAGATCCAGCATGGCTGAAACAAAAACCCAAGCAAGCACCTTTGAATTAGAGCTCTCATATACTGTAAATTCAGAAATTATTGCGTGCATTTATTATTGCGATTTTGTCATTTTAGACTAAAATGCGATTTTAATTTTTGCGATATTGAGAAAAATTCTGTTTAATTCATATAAAAAATTTCAGAATGCGATTGTAACCCTGTCGCATTTTTCGCAATAATAAAAACATTGCAATAATTTCTGAATTTACAGTACTTATAAACAAAATGATGATAATACCTTAAAAGGATAACAGAAATGACCAAAATTCTTGGACAGTACAATAAATCACACAAACCACAAACATCTGATTTCTCCAAGAAAATTGATGTACAAATGAAGAGTAACAACAGCACATGGCTCAGATAGTCTGCTACCAATGAGTATCATAATTCAATTATTGGTCATTTTGTATCTTTTTGCATGAACTGGCTATTTCTAATGGTGGAAGCAGTCACTGAATACTGTGAATTCATTACTATTCATTATTATTCGTTGGATACCAATTTTCATAGGGACAGGGGTTCCACGAATTTAAATGTTCAACAAATTGCAAAATACAAATTTTTTACAGGAATGTATGTATTAATTTTTAAAACCACAAAATCAAATGCATCCACGGAAATTGGTAACCAAGAAAATAAATGAATTTGCAATAGCCAGATTATTCAGATTTTAAATCATGATTTTTTTTCAACTATAAAAATATCAAGTTTGTTTTTGAACTTTTTTTCAAGTTGATTTTAGTGTACCGGTATACAATTTTCCTGATAAGTAAACATTTTGTTAACCTACCTGTTTGTGGCACCATTTACATGGAGCTATTTTCTGCATGGAATCAATCATGTTTCTGTCTAACTGGATTTGATATGGATTAAAGTTCTGTCGACATTGAGGACACTGAGGAGTTGGTATTTCTTGATAAGACTGTACACACTGTAAACAATATCTACAAATACAAAACAAAGAGAACCATTTTAACATTTTAATGCAGTATGAATTAGGCTAAGACTATTAAAGTGTACACACCTGAAAGATATGGTATATCAATTTGGCACAAAATTTTGACATGTACATCACAAACGCAAAGAAACTGCACTTTTCTTGATGTGTAGTCATCTAATATCCTCATGAGAAGCTCACAACTCACTGCAAGTTTATGATTGTCAGTTTGAGTGGAATTCTTTTCTTTATGTTAATAGTGCTAAAGTTTTGCACTGAATAGAACATATGCAAAGTAATATCAACAAAATACCAATTTATAACATGCATCAGTTTGAAAAAGATGATTTGCTAACAAATGCAGTGTTCTCAGAAACTGGCAGTCCTGTCGGTACCAACCACCAAAAATCAGTTAGGTAGCCTATTGTGAGTGTAGTGGTGGTCCTGATGACAAACTAAAAGTTTGTGGTGATTTTATTTTCTTTTTTTTTTCAAGGCTGTCTGCTATTTAATAAAAATTGTAGCTCCTGATAATGATTACAAAGTATATCAACATTCCATATGGAACCATATAATTATAGTGTATATTGGACTTATTTATACCTACATGTATGGAAATAATTGATGGCAAAAGTTTCTGCTAATACACATGATACAGGACCCCCAAATTTTCACTGGGGAGTGGGAACCACCAGATTTGTAATCTTAATGGTCCTAAAAGAAGATTTCAAGAACTCTTATTAATGTAAAGTCAAAAGCTATATTTTTTCTCTTAAAATAAAACATTACTATCCCATGGTCATTGTGTTGTATTGCAAATTGAGGAAAACATAAATATAATATTTAACATACATGTATGCCTAAAAGCAATCATACTTGTTTGTCATTATTTGAATTTTGCCAGAAAGTAATTAGTAGGTATAATTTTTGCTTCTTGCATGTTCAAGTATCTTTTTAACCCAATAATATAACACCTATATACTGTGAAATTCATTTATTTTCGTGGGTACCAATTTTCGTGGATTGAGGAAAACTTGCATATTCGTGGATATTCAATTTCGTGGTTTTGGCAAAGTCTGGATACATTCCTTTAGACAATTTGTAATTCGTTGACCATTTAAATTCGTGGTTCCCTTGTACCCACAAAATTCATGAAAATTAGTATCCAACGAATATTAATGATCCACAGTATGTGTATATGTGTATTTCCATAATTTAGTCCAGGTGACAACTATTGAAATAATATTGTTCATGTTAAACACTATTTCTTTGTTTTTGTTGTTGAGCAGAAACCAAGCAATCAGATCACTAGATTTAATTCTGTATCATTTCAAATGAATTTATTCAGAAAATCCCTAAAACTTGTACTTAAGCAACATGAGCATAAAAATGTAAATATGATTTTGGAAAAAAAAAAGCTAGATTAATAACAAAAATTGCATTACCAGGACTCCAATATCATATATACATATATATATACATTGTATATATAGATTTGGCCATGGTAATTCTTCTTATCTTATTTTATAAAATAATATTAGTCTTCATCATTATGAATTTTTTTATCATGAAATGCTTGTGTATACATTACTATCAGAAAGCATTGATTGATATAGTTATAATTTTGATTAATTATTCAAATCACCATCAGTAAGATCATTATTTGGTTTTATGCTGGCACAAGAATGTCTGTTCACTATCTGTTATTTAGTGCCAGCTACATTTATCACCTTCAAATGAGACAGGAACAAACATTTAATTCAAATATATATGAGAAAATATTTTAGCATCAAAACTTTAATGATTTCCAAAAAATGTGATTGGTTAATTATTTTATTAAACTGAGACAATTAATGCAACACCTTGACTTATGTTGATGGAATTGAAATATTTGTATATCTATTTGTCCAATAAATGTAAATGCAGAGATGTAAAAAGTGCCTAATTTTCCAAGGAATAAATTGGTAATGAATGGGTTTATAGATATATATAAATAATAGTGATGTCACAAGAGATTAAACATAACTTGGCTTAATCATAGATTGATTGATTGTTGGTTGCTTTATGTCCAGTGGCAAATGTTTCATGCATGTTCAGGACGAGAACAAATTAACAATAAATACAATAGGTAAGTTCTGTAATAGAGTCCGTCTGGGATGAAGACCAGGGAATTTTAATCCTAGAGCAGAACAGATTGCAATATGATTTCAAAAGGTCAAGTAGCAAACATGTGATTGAAATACAGATCCTGTATCCATGCTTTCTTTCTGTTTTAAAGATCTTTCAGGATCCTCTAGTTTTGTCATGAAGGATACACACCTTCAAAAATTAGGAAGAAGATATTTAATTGGCCAATGCAATAATAACCAGAACAGAAGAAAGGAGTGTTGTCAGATCCTTGTTCATGTAAGCAAAGGGTAAACACACAATCTGTATTTTATTCATATTGGTGTCTCAAAATCGTCAGGTGAATATGCTTGATTACAATTGTTATCTTTCAATCAAAGTATTTACTTTTAGGAGACTTTATTCAACTTAATTTGTGCATTTGTTCAGCATAAGATCTACTTCAGTACCTTAAGCCAAGGATTTGTATAGTAAGATTTTACTATACAAATCCTTGCTTAAGCAATGGGATGAAAATCTTATTTCAGTCTTGGGATCATTCCCATATTGTGCACAACATTAATTTATAGGAAAAGTTGGATAGCATATATAAGTATACAGATAGTGTGTTTAGAAACTGACAAAGAGACATTATGACCTTGTCAGTTCAAGGATGTAGGGATCTAAGTATTTTTTTTTTTACTTGGATGCTCATAAATACAAATAATGAAATATCAATAGCATTGGATGCCTACGTGTGGTTATTTCCACAGGATATTTGGACAGGATCAGCAAACATTTCAAGACAAATTGGACATTTGTACATCGTTAAATCGTCATCAGGGGATTGCATCCTTTTTCTTTTCCTAGATCTAGTTCCAGTTGCCATTAGCTTAAAATCTTCATTCCGCAAAAATTTGTAAGAATTATTTCCCTTTTCGTGGTGAGTAGCTTGATGCTCTAATCGGAATCTACCTAATGGGGATGATTTGAAATATAACGCAAGACCACTTTATGATTTAATTAGCAACAACCAACCACAAGACTAATTAATAAAAGATAAAAGTGCTCATTTTAGTTGCAATATTTGACGTTGATAGTATTTTATCATTTGTATTTATCTACAGGATTTAATCCATGTAGGGAAAACATCAAAAGGTCGATGTAGGATCATATAGTTAGGGGTGGGCGGGGCCGGAGTCAAACTGACTGCCTTTCATGTCTGGAATCATGCCCGACAGTACTGACGCGAAGAATGAATTGGCCAGGATGCCATGCTACCTTTTGTTATCCTACATATGATTTTTGGGGTAAAATAATATGTATGAAAGTTCAGTCCTAAATGTGTTTGGACCTTTCATGCAAATAAAAGGTAAAACATCGTACAGGTTAGTCATTTTTGAAAATCTCATCAAAGATACGATGCTTACTGATTGGCTGCGCCAGATGCGCGTTAGTTTACATAAGACTCATCAGTGGCGAACTTGAAGAGCCGCATTATTAAAAAACGGAAAATTTGAAAAATGAAGTGTATCATGGTATCTATATGTCATAATGGAACCATAATTAAAAGGCAATTTTAAATCTCAGTGAAACATAATACAGATTAAAATTGAGAATGGAAATGGGGAATGTGTCAAAGAGACAACAACCCGACCACAGAACAGACAACAGCAGAAGGCCACCAACAGGTCTTCAATGCAGCGAGAAATTCCCGCACCCGGAGGCGTCCTTCAGCTGGCCCCTAAACAAATATATATACTAGTTCAGTGATAATGAACGCCATACTAAACTCCAAATTGTCAGTACACAAGAAACTAAAATTAAGAATAATACAAGACTAACAAAGGCTAGAGGCTCCTGACTTGGGACAGGCGCAAAAATGCGGCGGGGTTAAACATGTTTATGAGATCTCAACCCTCCCCCTATACCTCTAGCCAATGTAGAAAAGTAAACGCATAACAATACGCACATTAAAATTCAGTTCAAGAGAAGTCCGAGTCTGATGTCAGAAGATGTAACCAAAGAAAATAAACAAAATGACAATAATACATAAATAACAACAGACTACTAGCAGTTAACTGACATGCCAGCTCCAGACTTCAATTAAACTGATTGAAAGATTATGTCTTCATCATATGAATATCAGGCACAATCCTTCCCGTTAGGGGTTTAGTATCATACCATCATAACATATATGAGAAGAACATAACCCGTGTCATGCCAACAACTGGTTTTTAAATAAATGTGTTTAGTGCCGATGCAAAGACCCTATAAGTGAATCAATATTAACGCCAAAATATGCAATCTTTAATGACCTGACAACAGTATCGTAACTATATCCCTTCTTAATAAGTCTATTTAAAGGTTTTGTTAGTTTCAGAGGTGAATACTGACATTTTTGTGCTTTATAAAGAATATTTCCATAAAAAATTGGATGTGAAATACCTGAACGTATAAGAAGTCTGCATGTTGAGCTATATTTACGAATGATGTCCTTATACCGATGATAAAATTTAGTAAATGTTTTGACTAGTTTGTGATATCGAAAACCCTGGTGTAATAATTTTTCAGTAATACATAAATTTCTCTCGTTAAAATCTAAAACATTGTTACATACACGAGCGAATCGTACAAGTTGAGATATATAAACACCGTAAGATGGTGACAAGGGAACGTCACCATCTAAAAATGGATAATTAACGATAGGAAATGAAAAATCATCTCTTTTATCATATATTTTAGTATTAAGCTTTCCGTTAATGATATAGATATCAAGATCGAGGAAAGGGCAGTGGTCATTGTTAGTATTAGCTTTATTTAAAGTAAGTTCAACAGGATAAATTTCTTTAGTATACATACTGAAGTCGTCATTATTGAGAGCCAAAATATCATCCAAATATCTAAAAGTATTATTAAATTTGTGTATCAGATGTTGTTTCGATGGGTCTTTACTGATTTTTGTCATAAATTGTAACTCATAGCAATACAAAAAAAGGTCCGCAATAAGTGGTGCACAGTTAGTCCCCATTGGAATTCCGATAACCTGACGATATACGGAATCTCCAAAGCGAACAAAAATGTTATCTAGTAAAAATTCAAGGGCATATATAGTATCAAAGCATGTCCAATTGACATAACACATATGTGTCTAAATTAATAAAGAACCCTTGTTCTGAAAATAAAAAAAAATATATTAAAAAGTCATATAGAATTAATGGGGACGGGTGAAAATGTAATATAGGATCTATATTTAAAACTACAGAGATCATTTCATGTATACTACAGTCATTATGGATTTTGTCATGGCCCCTGACTGTCCATAGTGGACATAATTGCACAGCCCACTCCAGGCGCGGATCTAGCCACTTTGAAAGGGGCGTTCCAACCCCTGAAACGCCATGAAACGTTCACATAATGAAAAAATAAAAAAAAAACAGTGACAAAAACAAAAACAAAACTACACAAAGTGATGCCCCCGCACTCCACTCTGAAGTAACTGTATTATAACAAAGTCAATGTAGGACTTTCTTTGAGATATTATTGCGTCTGGGAGACCGTGACAAATGATGCCCCCGTAGATGCATTGTGCTATTTCAAAATACACAAAGTTGAGCATGGGAGCACATAGGTCTATGGTTCACTGTGGGAGGAGTTATCCGGAAACGCTATGCACCTCTCATGCAAGTATATACTCCAAAAATGACAGAGTTCAACTATCTCCCAAAAGAGCAAATATTAATAAAAATCAAAACCCTGACCACATGCACACCTTCGATATATGTACAAACACACTATTAAGTGTAAGAAATTGTGAATCGCTCCGACTATATTTAAGAAACATATTCGTAATCAAAACGATCGAGTCCCTTTATACTTTTATGCTTGATGTCGAACAGGTCAAATTCTACATGCGCGATTAAGAATGAATAGCAGTTCTTTAAACTGTCACTTGTTTCCAAGAAATTTATCTTCTTCTCCTCACTGTCGCTGTGGTGACTTGGAAACTAACTCGCATTTTTTTTTATTATTTTGCCCATTATATTCAGACATAAGACAAGAAATGATAATGTCATTTGGAAGCCTACAACTAACAGTACCAATGGTCACTGAATAACTTATAAATGACTCGAATAAGATTTCAACTGAAGAAATCATTAGTTTATTTCTTATGCATGTGCAAAGGTTAATTATTAAATCTAAAAGGTTTACAAACTAATAATTCATACGATATACCTGTAAGCATTTCATCTTCATAGTTGCATTTTTCTTTTTTTCTTTTTTCAGTTCATTATGAAACTTAACTGACATTATCAATATTTTTATTATGTAACAGAGCATGTAGTTTTGATTTATTTTTGTATATTGTATCCTATTTAACAAGGAGACAGATTAATATAAGCACTTGTTGCTTGTTTCTGAATCCTATTTGTGAATGTGAATTTATATTGTAATTGGTATAATCCATAATAAAATATTGTTTACACTAACGATACCACACAAAAAGTAAGGTCGGTTTCTTATACTGACAGAACGGTTGAACTAAACTTTAACGACAAAAGAGATGGTTTCAAATTTCCATTCATATCTTTCAATTCAGTTATATTGATTTTTTTTTTATGTTTCTGTATATATGGAGTATACTTGCCAATCTGGTTAAAATTCAGATATATATCGTAACTTGCATACTCATCGACGTGCATTGCGAATTCACATATCTATATTTTAATTAGATTGACGACTTGTTTTTATAGTGATCTTCGGGATAGCGGAATCGCTGCTTCCAATGAAACTTCTGAACCAAATGGTTCTAGATGGAAAATTTGTCACCTCTTTTTTAAAACATTTTTCAATAACCATTATGGAATATTCGTAGCCACAGTTCCATCTTCTTTTCTAAGTTATAGCTTTATCGAAGTGATTATCATTACAACACGATGGGTTCCACTAGTGGGGGCAGGAACTACTTACCTTACATATGCATCTTGTACTATTTGAAGGATAGCTGTTTGTCTTTTTCTTTGGATTTTGATTGGCCCTTTGGTATCGTCACCCCTACCAAAAACTAAATATCATTAAGGGTCAGTGTAAGAACTAATCAAGTTATAAGAATACTTAGATGTCTAAATTCCCAGAAAATTGTTCTGTTTGCTTTTTTCAGATTTGTTCTTGTTCTGGCCATTACACAATATCCTGTCTTCCTGTTCTGTTCATGATGGTGCTGTTTGAAATCTATTGTGATGATCATACATCGGTATAAGGGGTGTGCTGCCGGTGGAATGAATTACGCAGTTAACCTTTTTGTTGAACTTGCTTTCAGTAACTGCGAGCATTTTGATCCTATATTGTTTTGTCATCTATGATGCTATCAAAAATTAAAATAACAAAAATACCAAACTCCAAGGAAAACTCAAAACGGAAAGTCCTTTCTCAAATGGCAAAATCAAAAGCGCAAACACATCATTCGAATGGAAAACAACTGTCATATCCCTGACTTGGTATAGGCATTTCCTTATGTAGAAAATGGTGGATTAAACCAGGTTATAATACATTGATGAAGTAATTTTCCTGTGCATTTTTGTATGTTATTTTGGAATGGCCTTTATAAGTTGGTTGAGATATAAAATAGTTTGATTCCACATATTGATGTGCCGAATTAAAAGTTAATGGAGCATGACTGATGAGCTGGAAAAATACATATTGCAAAATAACAACGTGTTACGGTCTATTGTAAGGACTTCTATTATAAAATGTATCCAATCAGAAACCTTAAACATTAGGTGTTAGCACAAATTGTCAACAAGACCCTGTTTTACCTTCTGCATCGTTTTTTTTTTGTGTGCAGGTTGTGGAGCAATATTCTTGCAATGAGGGATGACCAAAATACAAAACTTAACCATGCAAGGGACACACATTAATTAATAAGATCGACAAAACAATTGATTGATTGTTTGTTGCTTTATTTCCAGTGGCAAATATTTCATGGATAATCAGTATTTATCCAATGGTGTCAAATTTTACTGGCTTCTTAGAAACTGGGCTTAAGATAAATCTAAAGCAAAATTAGCTCAACTATGGGCAAAAGTGAACCAACTGATGCTGATCTATGTATCACTATAAAAGACAATGGTAGAAACGAAATATTATATGTTACAGTACAAATTGGAATACCGTAGGATCCACAATCCTCCTAGAAAAAATTGAAATTTCTATATCTACAAGAACAAATTGGAGTTCTGATCTCTACTAATTAAAATCTAGTACAAATCAGGATTCCAATACCTACTACAGTATAAAATTTGGATATCCAGATCTGTGCTAGAATAAACTAGGTTGTACTTTTAAAATTTCTCAAATTTTTGTTATTTATATCTCACTGTTGATGAAATGCAGCAAACCGATATTGTTAGATTAAAAGTCGAGTCAAGTTATATAAAAATATATTAGAATTAATTCAGGATTGATGACATGTCTTACTGTACGACAACTACGAAAATAGATGGTAGCCAATGAACCATGAAAATGAGACCAGGGTCAAATGAACCCTGCCAGGCGAGACAGGATTGATTACATGTCTTACTGTATATACATAAAATGTTAACACAGAGATATGTCTTGCCTTTTTGTAATTTTGATAATGCAAATGTTGAAATTAAAATTGCAATACTTTATATATATAAGTAGATGTGGTATGAGTGCCAATGAGACAACTCTCCATCCAAGTCACAATTTATAAAAGTAAACATTATAGGTCAAAGTACGGTCTTCAACACAGAGCCTTAACATGTAAGTTATGCAAATATTCAAAGTCAATGAACCATGACCGAAGGTACATGGCTAGACAATCTCCATGGAAATGAGATGTGCCAATGCTAATAAACTGCATACCAAATACCATTGACTTATCATAAGTCGTTCCCTTTAAACAAACCTCAACACAAACATTAACTTGCAAACTATGTAAAAGTTTCAAAGACAATGAACCAGGATTAGGGGGTGGGGCTATATAATCTCTATGGAAACGAGACTTGCAAATGCCAATAGATTTGCATACCAAATATCATTAACTTAACATGAGGTTCATCTTAAATTGAACTAATCACAAACTAATACATGTAAACTAAGCAAAAGTTTTAAAGTCAATAGACCATGACTGAGGGGACGGAGCCAAGTAATCTCCATGGAAATGAGATATGCTAATGCTTATACAACTGTATACCAAATATCATTGACCAACCACTAGCTGTTCCCCATCAACTGACCTAATCACAAACTAATAAATGTAAACTAACGGTAAGCAAAAGTTTCAAAGTCAATAGACCATGAATGAGGGGGCAGGGCCAAATAATCTCCATGGAAATGAAGTGTGCCAATGCTAATACAACTGCATACCAAATATCATTGACCTACCACTAGTGGTTCACCATAAACTAGACCTAATCACAAGCCAATACATTGTTGACTCCGCAACCGCCGGAAACATCATACCTACGTCTCACTTTTGACTCCGTCAAGGTGAGACAATAATATGGATAGAGTGCAAGAACAAAATGAGGTTGTCTTGAATTCTGCAATATTCACTTTAGATGCGACTAAAGTACCAACTTTGAGTGGCAGACAAAACATATTTTCTATAAGATTCTAAATGATACACTGCTACTTTTGCATAGGTACTATTTCTGTACTAAAACTCTGTAGTACTATAAATTTACTTTTAATATTTAGTACTATTTCTTTACTTTAAAATTATTGTAATATTTAGGTACCTGTATTTTACAGTACTTGATTTGTACTAAAAATTTTGGTACAGATATAATACCAACAGTGATCACAATATTCCATGTTTGAAAATCATAACTTTAAGAGATTTGAATTAGACAAACTTTCAAAATGCTGAAAATGTAACGGTTTTACCAAAAATCTGTAGTACTTAAATTTCAAGTACAAAGCAAGTACTGTAAAATACAGGTACCTAAATATTACAATAATTTTAAAGTAACAAAATAGTACTGAATATTAAAAGTAGATTTCCAGTACTACAGATTTTTGGTACAGAAATAGTACCTATGCAAAAGTAGCTGTGTATTCCATTTTCCTATTGTTTCACATGCAATATGTTATTGATTTCGGTGGTCCAGAAACAATGATTACCTGTTTTCGGTGGTCCAGAAACAATGACTACCTGGTTTCAGTGAGAACCAATAATTATCTGATTTCGGTGGAACAGAAACAATGATTACCAGATTTCAGTAGACCAGAAACAATGATAACCCAAATTACATCTACAGAGCATCAGATAAATAAGATTTGCATGAATGTTTTAAAAAAGATCTTTCATAATTAGTTGCATCGGAAAAATCTGTATCATTTTGAAAGTATCTAGTCTTTCTCCACATCAGTGCTGCAAAGTTCATTTTAGATCAAATAACAAAGAAAATGTTAGTGATATTATGAATAAAAGTCATAAAAAAGAAACAAAACCATTTTTGTCAAATCTTTATTATGCAATAATCATCATAGATTATAAGTTAAATATAAACTTTAATTTTCAACATCCACATAACATAACAAATGTAACAGGTAAACACATGTATATAAGAGTGCAGCTAGTCATCACTAACACACATGAAATGAAAGTGTGGACACACAAAAATGTACTTTCTTAGTAATATTTATGTCTGAACAAGAGTACACATGCTAAAGTATCCTCTCTGCTTTATTGTCCATAATTGTATTTTAAGTCTTCTGATAAAGTTTTCGCTACAGGTATCACATAAACTTAACATTATCAATGATAAATGACATTGAGATCAAAGTCAGATTAACCCTGCCAGACAGAACATATACACCTTACAATCATACCAAGTATAGCTAAACTATTGCTTGTGGATACCAGTTTCCTTCGTTGAGAAAAAAGTTGTGATTATTGAACATATAAATTTGTGGTTGACCAATTAACCATGAAAATGAGGTAAAGGTCAGTGGAACCTTGAAAGACAGACATGTACACGGTACTATCATTCTATACAACAAATATAGTTGACCTATTGCTTATAGAATCGGAAAACTAACCTATCATGAGAACATTGGCTAACAAACCATGAAAATGAGGTAAGCGTCAGATTAACCCTGTTAGACATACATTTCCACCCTAAAATCATTCAATACTCCAAATACAACTGACCTATTGCTTATACATGTAGTATCTAAAAACAAAACTTACTAAAAAAACTTAATGTTGACCAATGAACCATAAAAAAGGGCCAGGGTAAAATAAACCCTGTGCCAGGTAAGACAGGCATAAGCTAAAGGCCAAAAGATTAATATCAAGACAAATAAGTAAACTTAACTAAAGAATAAGAAGTGAAAGAATTTAGAATAATTCTAACCAACAATCCTTAGACTGATTTTACCCAAAACCTGTATAACAACTGCTTATTTCAGTTTAAGAGATATATAGACTCACAGTATTGCATGTAAATTTATGAAAAGATAGCTAAAGGTCAAGTGATACCTTCACAGTATTTCAATGTAAAAAGTGACATAATTATGAAAAGGTAAAATGAATTATTGAGCTACATGTTTATTCATGACAAAATAAAAGTACTTATCTAACATTTGATACAATCAAAACAAAACTAAGTGTCATAGAAGGAAAGTGATTTTGCCAGATGAGTTATCACAGTATGATTCAATGTGTGTGTCCTTATATCAAAATTTAAGTTTTAATAACATCTATGGAATAGAATAAAATATTGGCACTACATTGAAGGTGGATGGTAGTTATTGAGGTTTGTAAAGGACAATTTGTGGGCAAAGGATGGATAGCCTAAAAAGAAGAAACATGTAGTTAAATACTTGTTCTCTTTTCTGTAATATGATTCTGTACAAATTTTAGGCATTGCACAAGATTGTGTTTTACCTCCCTGTTAGTCATTTACTTGAAGTTGTCAATAGTAAAGTGTAGGATTGCATTATTTCATTATCAGCAGTTTTAGAACTTTTGAGCTTTTTTCAGTAACTTTGGGCCTTCTTTGATCCACCATTTTTTCACTTGTGCCTGGTTTTTGCCGTTCATAATATGAATGTAAATAATTTAGAGTGCTTTTTCTTAAAATATTTTTATATTTGTTCCTCTATTTACATAAAGTTGAAACTCAATCAAAATTAGGAAAAAAAAGGTTGACTGTTTTTAAAAAAAAACATGATTAACTCCAGCCATATGTTTATGAGTGGCCCCAATTCAATAAACTTCTCATTGGTTTTCTTTATTTATATTTAACAGTTTTTATCTTTAAGTGAATACCATTGGACATTAAGCAAATAGCAGTTAACTAATCTTTACTGAATTCACTCTTTCAGAATCTAATGCATTCTGGGTAATATTTTCAGAGGGAACTCCAAAACATTTGATTGCTTAAAACGTCATTAACAATAGAAATTCAACTAATAACATGATATCATCCTAATGTTAGGGTGAGAACAATAAAATGACCAATAGTCCTTTAGAATCTGAAACAGTGAATTTTGTCTTGATGGCTTGTCTTTGAAAGTCTCTGATATTTGAAGATGGTATGTTGACCTCTTTATGACTTTGGTATTTTCTGTGTTGTTTAATTGCAGTCTCATTGATGTATAACACACATCTCCTTTTATTCATATCTTAATGACTCAATTTCTACATAAGAAAAGATTTTTAGAAGAACAAAACTAGTAAAACTAGATACCCCAATAATGATTTTGGTCAAGTTTGGTTAAATTTGGCCCATTAGTTTCAGAGAAGATGTTTGTAAAAGTTAACAGACGACGACTTGATGTGCGCCAAGTGATGAGAAAAAATAACAGATTATTCACTTATTTCCCACTCTTATAAACTATATTTTGTTTATATTGCTAAACACGCCAACAAACATGAACATATCTAAATACAAATTTGCATAAATCAATTCTAATATTGTGCAGTCCAAAAACATTGCTATCAGGCACTTTATGATTATTACACACATCATCAATCTGTTGTGTGATCTGTTTGTTGTATATGTAACACTTCACCGCTGTCTGTCGTAACGGTGTGAACTTGAAGATTATCACTGTGGTCCCCAACAGAATTCACAACTTGTAAACCCTCTGTTCCATCTGCTTGAGATATCTGAAGGAGAAAATAATGAAATAATAATAATGCATAGTATTTTGGTGCAAGAAAAATGTGTCCTTTTTCAGTTCCAAGCTAAGGGCTGTTCCATTTTAATGGGGTAACCACCTTTAGAGGCTGCAAATTTTGAATTTCACTTACATTTTCAATGCACTTGACACCCACTCATAGTTGATATTTCAGACCTTCCCATTAAAACATACATGTGTCACCTCTGTGTTTTAATGGAACATCTCTGCCATGACCAAGTCATTATTTAAAGTATTTGTTCAGATTATGAATAGAGTCTATTTTTTGCTTAAAACAGTTATAAATATTAAAATTTTAGTTACATCCAGGATCAAATTTAATTTTTTTTCTCATGTCAAACAAAATTAATTTCTGCATCCATGTGAAACTAATTATTTCAAATGTTTAATTTTGATTATGTTTGAAATAAAACATGTAAGATTATCATCTTGAAGAGTAATTATATAAATTTTTCATGCAAAAAAAGTTTTTTGTTTGTTAGTTAATTTCAAATTGTCTAACAGGTATTTTTTTTCATATTTCCTAAATCTCAAACAAAATACATTAATTTATATCCATTATATGGTATAAATGAATTTACCAGCGGTAGAACTTGATCTATGTAAGATCTGTACAAGTGGTATACAGGTGACAAATAACCTACAGATAATATTTGGCTAAAAGGTCACTGTATACTGTAAATTCAGAAATTATTGACACGATTTTTTTAATGAGAAAAATGCGACCGTATCAGGTTTGCAATAATAAACTAGAGGCTCTCAAGAGCCTGTGTCGCTCACCTGATTCTACTTTGGTTTTGGAAATCATGTAAAAATAGATTAAAATCATAACAGATACCTTAATAATGAGTGAGGCCAAATTTGGTTTAATATTGGTCCTGTAATTTAATAAAAAATCCTGGTGGCCATCTTGAACAGTAAATTGGCAACAAAGTAGCAACACTTAATCAGCACCTCATAAGAAACATTTATGCCATGTTTTGGTTTCATTCCATTCAGTGCACCTCTAGAAGAAGCATTTGTATGTATTTCCCATAGGGTCTTATGTTAAAGGAAGTCCCCCTATTGGCGGCCATCATGGATGAAGGATCAGCTTCAAAGTAACAAAACTTAGTCAGCACCTCATAAGGAACATTCATGCCATGTTTGGTTTCAATCCATTCAGTATGTGGTTCTCTAAAAGAAGACATTTGTATGTATCATCCATAGGGTCCTTTGTTAAACATTGTCCCCATCTGGCAGCCATCATGGATGAAGGATCAGCTTCAAAGTAACAACACTTGGTCAGCACCTCAAAAGGAACATGCATGCCATGTTTGGTTTCATTCCATTCAATGGTTCTCTAAAAGAAAACATTTGTACGTATTTCTCATAGGGTCCTATGTTAAACTAAGTCCTCCGCTGGCGGCCATCTTAGATTATGGATCGGCTTCATAGTAACAACACTTGGTCAGCACCTCATAAGGAACATTCATGCCATGTTTGGTTTCATTGCATTCAGTGGTTCTCTAAAAGAAGACATTTGTATGTATTTCCCACAGGGTCCTATGTTAAACTAAGTCCCCCGCTGGCTGCCATCTTGGATGATGGATCAGCTTCAAAGTAACAACACTTGGTCAGCACCTCATAAGGAACATTCATGCCATGTTTGGTTTCATTGCATTCAGTGGTTCTCTAAAAGAAGACATTTGTATGTATTTCCTATAGGGTCCTATGTTAAACTAAGCCCCCCGCTGGCTGCCATCTTGGATGATGGATCAGCTTCAAAGTAACAACACTTGGTCAGCACCTCATAAGGAACATTCATGCCATGTTTGGTTTCATTGCATTCAGTGGTTCTCTAAAAGAAGACATTTGTATGTATTTCCCATAGGGTCCTATGTTAAACTAAGTCCCTCTCTGGCGGCCATCTTGGATGATGGATCGGCTTCAAAGTAACAACACTTAGTCAAGACCTCATAAGGAACATTCATGCCATGTTTGGTTTCATTGCATTCAGTGGTTCTCTAAAAGAAGACATTTGTATGTATTTCCCATAGGGTCCCATGTTAAACTAAGTCCCCCGCTGGCATCCATCTTGGATTATGGATCGGCTTCAAAGTAACAACACTCGGTCAGCACCTCATAAAGAACATTCATACCATGTTTGGTTTCATTCCATTCAGTGGTTCTCTAAAAGAAGACATTTGTATGTATTTCCCATAGGGTGGTATGTTAAACTAAGTCCCCCGCTGGCAGCCATCTTGGATTATGGATCGGCTTCAAAGTAACAACACTCGGTCAGCACCTCATAAGAAACATTCATGCAATGTTTGGTTTCATTCCATTCAGTGGTTCTCTAAAAGAAGACATTTGTATGTATTTCCCATAGGGTCCTATGTTAAACTAAGTCCCCCGCTGGCGGCCATCTTGGATTATGGATCGGCTTCAAAGTAACAACACTCAGTCAGCACCTCATAAGGAACATTCATACCATGTTTGGTTTTATTCCATTCAGTGGTTCTCTAAAAGAAGACATTTGTATGTATTTCCCATAGGGTCCTATGTTAAACTAAGTCCCCCGCTGGCGGCCATCTTGGATTATGGATCGGCTTCAAAGTAACAACACTCGGTCAGCACCTCATAAGGAACATTCATACCATGTTTGGTTTCATTCCGTTCAGTGGTTCTATAAAAGAAGACATTTGTATGTATTTCCCATAGGGTCCTATGTTAAACTAAGTCCCTCACTGGCGGCCATTTTGGATGATGGAACAGCTACAAAGTAACAACACTTGGTCAGCACCTTGTAAGGAACATTCATGCTATGTTTTGTTACATTCCATTCAGTGGTTCTCTAAAAGAAGTCATTTGTATGCATTTCCCATAGGGTCCTATGTTAAACTAAGTCCCCTGCTGGCGGCCATCTTGGATGATGGATCGGCTACAAAGTAACAACACTTGGTCAGCACCTCCTAATGAACATTCATGCTATGTTTTGTTTCATTCCATTCAGTGGTTCTCTAAAAGAAGTCATTTGTATGCATTTCCCATAGGGTCCTATGTTAAACTAAGTCCCTCACTGGTGGCCATTTTGGATGATGGAACAGCTACAAAGTAACAACACTTGGTCAGCACCTTGTAAGGAACATTCATGCTATGTTTTGTTTCATTCCATTCAGTGGTTCTCTAAAAGAAGTCATTTGTATGCATTTCCCATAGGGTCCTATGTTAAACTAAGTCCTCCGCTGGCGGCCATCTTGGATGATGGATCAGCTACAAAGTAACAACACTTGGTCAGCACCTCCTAATGAACATTCATGCTATGTTTTGTTTCATTCCATTCAGTGGTTCTCTAAAAGAAGTCATTTGTATGCATTTCCCATAGGGTCCTATGTTAAACTAAGTCCCTCACTGGTGGCCATTTTGGATGATGGAACAGCTACAAAGTAACAACACTTGGTCAGCACCTTGTAAGGAACATTCATGCTATGTTTTGTTACATTCCATTCAGTGGTTCTCTAAAAGAAGTCATTTGTATGCATTTCCCATAGGGTCCTATGTTAAACTAAGTCCCCCGCTGGCGGCCATCTTGGATGATGGATCGGCTACAAAGTAACAACACTTGGTCAGCACCTCATAAGGAACATTCATGCCATGTTTGGTTTCATTCCATTCAGTGGTTCTCTAGAAGAAGTTCAAAATGTAAAAAGTTAACGCCGACGACGGACGACGCCGGACGACGGACTTTGGACGCCAAGTGATGAGAAAAGCTCACTTGGCCCTTCGGGCCAGGTGAGCTAAAAAATGCATTCATAATTTCAGAAGTGATTTTTCCTTCACAAATTTTTGCAATCACATTAATTAGATTTCATCTTTTTGCCAGTGGTCAAGGATTCACAATAATAAATGTGCACATTAATCTCTGAATTTACAGTAATTTGATCTATGCAAGTTGTATACAGGTGAGCATGACATGTAACATAAGGTAAATATGCATCATTTTATTCTCCTTGTAAGATCTAAATATGTTGTGAAAACATGTCAACATTATGATAAGAAAGATGTATATTTGGATATCCTGTAGTATTTGTATATGTTGTATAAAGGTAACATGCGACTTACAGGTAAAAGTAACTGTATCATTTGATCTTCCTGTAGTATTTGTATATGTTGTATAAAGGTAACATGTGACTTACAGGTAAAGGTAACTGTATAATTTGATCTTCCTGTAGTATTTGTATATGTTGTATATAGGTGATGTGTGACTTACAGGTAAAGGTAACTGTATAATTTGATCTCCCTGTAGTATTTGTATATGTTGTATATAGGTGACGTGTGACTTACAGGTAAAGGTAACTGTATAATTTGATCTCCCTGTAGTATTTGTATATGTTGTATAAAGGCAACATGTGACTTACAGGTAAAGGTAACTGTATAACTAGAGCTCCCTGTAGTATGTGTATATGTTGTATAAAGGTAACATGTGACTTACAGGTAAGGGTAACTGTATAATTTGATATCCCTGTAGTATTTGTGTATGTTGTATAAAGGTAACATATGACTTACAGGTAAAGGTAACTGTATAATTTGATCTCCCTGTATTATTTGTATATGTTGTATAAAGGCAACATGTGACTTACAGGTAAAGGTAACTGTATAATTTGATCTCCCTGTAGTATTTGTATATGTTGTATATAGGTGACGTGTGACTTACAGGTAAAGGTAACTGTATAATTTGATCTCCCTGTAGTATTTGTATATGTTGTATAAAGGCAACATGTGACTTACAGGTAAAGGTAACTGTATAACTAGAGCTCCCTGTAGTATGTGTATATGTTGTATAAAGGTAACATGTGACTTACAGGTAAAGGTAACTGTATAATTTGATATCCCTGTAGTATTTGTGTATGTTGTATAAAGGTAACATATGACTTACAGGTAAAGGTAACTGTATAATTTGATCTCCCTGTAGTATTTGTGTATGTTGTATAAAGGTAACATATGACTTACAGGTAAAGGTAACTGTATAATTTGATCTCCCTGTATTATTTGTATATGTTGTATAAAGGCAACATGTGACTTACAGGTAAAGGTAACTGTATAATTTGATCTCCCTGTAGTATTTGTATATGTTGTATAAAGGCAACATGTGACTTACAGGTAAAGGTAACTGTATAACTAGATCTCCCTGTAGTATTTGTATATGTTGTATAAAGGCAACATGTGACTTACAGGTAAAGGTAACTGTATAATTTGATCTCCCTGTAGTATTTGTATATGTTGTATAAAGGCAACATGTGACTTACAGGTAAAGGTAACTGTATAACTAGATCTCCCTGTAGTATTTGTATAAGTTGTATAAAGGTAACATGTGACTTACAGGTAAAGGTAACTGTATAATTTGATCTTCCTGTAGTATTTGTATATTTTATATAAAGGTAACATGCCACTTACAGGTAAAGGTAACTGTATAATTTGATCTCCCTGTAGTATTTGTATATGTTGTATAAAGGTGACATGTGACTTACAGGTAAAGGTAACTGTATAATTTGATCTTCCTGTAGTATTTGTATATTTTATATAAAGGTAACATGCCACTTACAGGTAAAGGTAACTTTATAATTTGACCTCCCTGTATCATTTGTATCTTTTATATAAAGGTAACATGCCACTTACAGGTAAAGGTAACTGTATAATTTGATCTCCCTGTAGTATTTGTTGTCTAAAGGTAAGATGTCACTTACAGGTAAAGGTAACTGTATAATTTGATCTCCCTGTATTATTTGTATATGTTGTATAAAGGTTACATGCGACTTACAGGTAAAAATAACTGTATAACTTGATCTTCCTGTAGTATTTGTATATGTTGTATCAAGGTGACATGTGACTTACAGGTAAAGGTAACTGTATAATTTGATATCCCTGTAGTATTTGTGTATGTTGTATAAAGGTAACATTTGACTTACAGGTAAAGGTAACTGTATAACTAGATCTCCCTGTAGTATTTATATATGTTGTATAAAGGTGACATGTGACTTACAGGTAAAGGTAACTGTATAATTTGATATCCCTGTAGTATTTGTGTATGTTGTATAAAGGTAACATATGACTTACAGGTAAAGGTAACTGTATAATTTGATCTCCCTGTAGTATTTGTGTATGTTGTATAAAGGTAACATATGACTTACAGGTAAAGGTAACTGTATAATTTGATATCCCTGTAGTATTTGTGTATGTTGTATAAAGGTAACATATGACTTACAGGTAAAGGTAACTGTATAATTTGATCTCCCTGTAGTATTTGTGTATGTTGTATAAAGGTGACATTTGACTTACAGGTAAAGGTAACTGTATAATTTGATCTCCCTGTAGTATTTGTATATGCTGTGCTTGTTGAAGCTGTGAGATTTGTTCAGGAGTGGCATGTAGAATCTGTATTTCTCCCTGAGGTAGTCCGTCCCCATGCATTGACAAGGCCTGTTTTATACTACTGTCTATATTTTGCATGGTTAAAGCTTGCTTTATACTTTCACCCTGGTCACCCTGAAATAAATTTTAAAAACTTGGTTACATGTGTCATTTTCATACATGTACTTTATATTTCCAAACTCCATAAATGAACTGTCTACACAGAGATACGTCTCACCTGTATGTTATATTAATACTGTGGATTCATCATCATTTGTAGGCTACCAATTTTCATGGTAAAGGTCAACCACTAATTTAAATGTTCAATGACACACACATTTTCTATGCAGACTTTGGTATTACCATAAAATCAAATATCCAAGAACTACAATTTTTCCTCAATCCCAAAAAATAAAAGAATTCATAGTAGTATAATGCAAATATTAAAATTAAATGTCAACACTTTAATATTTAAACGATATAAAACTTTCAGTCAATTAACCATGACTATGGCGGGGCCAAATAATCTCAGGAAATGAGATGTGTTAATGCTAATATAAGTGTATAATAATTATCATCGACTTAACCATAAGTTTTCCCACTTAAACTGACCTAATCACAAACTTTAACATGTAAACCACGCAAAAGTTTAGAAGCCAATAGACCATGACTAAGCTAACAAGTTGATTCTGCAAAAATTTCCTTTGTAGCAAATTTCATAATGAATGCTGATGGATGTGGATGATTCATCCTGAAATATCTCAATATATCTTAAACGGATCTTAGTTGGCAGGGTTGTAAATCAAAGTGTTATCTCCATCCCAATCACCAACAATTACTTTGGTGGTCATTTACCTGATGTATATGAAGTTCTGAGTCTTGTAATGAGTCATCATCACTGATTGATAAATCAGATGTCCCTCCTGGTCCTATAAAATTAGGAACAGATTTTCCACGAAAAGCTTTGACAGTTAATGGCATCCCTCGCTGCTTTCTTCTAAATGCTGTTCTACATTTAGAATCCATGTTCTGTTTAATTCTATGCCAATCAGCTTCCGAGATTTGAAATCTGTGTATCAAATGACCTAAAATGAACATTTATATCAGATATAAAAATCAGACCAAAAAACATAATGCACCTCTACTATTGTAGGTGGGGCATAAAAACAAATACATAATTGTCATTTCTATTCTAATGAATAATAAAAAGAAATATTGCATTAACGCTTGGAAAATGTATAAATTAACAATAAAGTAAAATTCCGTGAAATTTCATGAATGTTCTTGGCGCATTAATGTCATGCGTCATACGAATGAAAACTCTCAAGATGATTTTTGTTTATTGTACGCTTCAAATTTAAATAATATCTCATTCGAATGAATTTTTTAGGTAGGTGTTATTTCATTTTAGATTCTATTGCATTAATCAAATTAATGGATTTCAGAAAGTCAATATGGCAGCTTACTTCTTAGTTATGAAATGTCAATTGTGCATTTGCTTACAAATAGTAACCAATGTACCAAAAATTGTTAATTAAAAATTGCAAATGTTTGGGTAAAGTATTATAAGGATTAAACACAATTTTCTAGAGGTTGTTGATGTGTAAACTGGGTTGCTGTCGCACAAACTTTACATAAAAGTCAGTTTGTGAGTTAATCGCCCCAGTTTAAACATCAATAACCTCTAGAAAAAATGTGTTTAATCTTATGATAAAAAAATTCTTTGCTTGTAGTGCAGAGGCATGCTAACTGAAGGTCAAATAAGCAATTCTCAAACATTAAATGTTGGTAGACCATTTAAAGGCTAATCTTTCAAAAATTCACACACTTTTTGCAATGTTTTCTCTTCCGAAATAATTCGAACAAAGACTACATATTTGAGCCTTTACTACAATCCCAAACCAATGTAATTACAACTAAAACCAAAAATTATGAGAAAATTGATTACCATTTTTTTTGTCATATTTTACAATTCTTGAAAAACAAAAAGTTTCAAGTGATGTCTTGCAAAGTATACCCCCACTTGTAAATAGACATTACACAAAATTCCATCCTCAAGTGGCTGAATTATATGTAACTTTTGATTGTTTTCTCAATGAGTATAATAAAAATTCAAAATAATCATCAAACAAGAAGTGAGTACCTGGACGATTAGAAAATTGCTAACTTTGTACAGCTCAACATTATAAATTTCCAGACCAAAAATCACATGATTCTTTAATAAAGTTAATACATAAGAAGGTGAGTAATATGCAATGTAAATAATGGACCAATAAACAGACAGACTGACAAGTCCTGACAAGATTGCTGTTTACCACCAACTCCAGGAGTGGGGGGTTTAACTTTGCATAAATTTATATTACACCCTTTTAATCACATCTAATTTCACCATTCGAAAAAAAATCTAAGGGCTATTCCATAAAAATGTATGTGGGAGGGTAGGAAGAGAAGTTTAATTATTGAATGTGGGTCATGGGTCTTTTTTCAGTATGTGTCTATTACCATTATGCAAAATTACCTAAAAAATGGTTCTTGGTTGTAGGGATATTTTGAAAGTCCCTTCCTATCCTCCCACATACATTTTAATGGAATAACCCTAATGCAATGCAAGGCTGACAGAATTATCTATCAACACTCAAAATTCTATAATTGAGATGCAGTCTTGCAGTATACTTACATCTAATACCATATATCATGAGAGGGTCTAACTGCTTTTTTCCATGCTTTCCCATACCAGATAAATTAGAAGAAGCCTGTGTTTCCCGGTCAAACAAATAATCTAACATAGTTAGCGCCATCTTTTCTGCTGTCCGACAATTGGAATGTACATGTAATATATCACTAAAAGAATTCAAACATAAAATTAACAAATTAATTTTTTATGTAATATTTTTCAGAAATGGTTAAATATGGTCTGGTCAGCTGTCCTTAAACTGATTGGCTTTTACAAATAAAATTATTACTTTTTATCAGCATGTATACTGTCTTTGGGTCATATCTAGAAGATTCTGTTTCTTTAAATTCCATGCAGGTTTAACAAAGATAAAAATGTCTAAACTAGAGGCTCCTTTCTAAGAGACTCTAAGGAGCCTGTATGGCTCAACAGGCATTTTGGGATAGAATTGATACAATGCAATAAGAATATTTCAGAAAGTTTCAAGCAAAATCGCAAAAAATAGGTTAACAAATTAACATCTTAGGCCAACAATTCCATGAGGGAGTTGACTAATGATTTCTGAAACGTTGACAGTTGACACATTAGTAGGATTTATTTAGCGGATCATTTGTGCCAATTATAGCTTCTCTTTATCTAATATAGTTAAAAAAAAAACAACAACATTAATTTAAGTAAAAAACATCAGCAAAGGCAATAAGTTCTATAAGGAGTCCACTGACTATTTCAGCAAATGTTGACAATCTGTAGATTTTTTTCTGTTGATCAATTTTGCAACTTAATTTCTCTCTTTTATAGTTTTTGAGAAAAAAACCAACAAATGCAAGAAAAAGTTGTCATTCAAGGGCGTCTGAAGTTTTCAGCCATTTTGTCTTATTAGTTTTCAAGAGATAAGATAAAATTGCAAAAAATGTTTATAGTAATTCAAGGGCAACAACTCCTAAAGGAGTCTTCTGAGAGTCTTGGTCAGTAGGTAGAAGATAACATTCTTATCATTTCTGCCTTATCATATTTTCTTTTATCTATAAAAGTTTGCCAGATAATAAATAAAACTTGCATTTTACCCCTTTGTTCTTTTAAAGACTTGTCAGCCAACAGGGCTGGTTGGTCGGATCATCAGAAACACCACTTACACTAGATAAGCAAAGAATAATTGTAGTAAAGTTTGGTTTTAATTCTTCCTAAAAACGTATAAAACAGAAAACAACAAGACAAAGGAGGACAGATGCCGAGTGATGAGAAAAGCTCACTTGGCCCTTTATGCCAGGTGAGGTAAAAAAATAACCCCTCCTTTCCATTCACAATTGCATATCAGTTTAATATTATTACCTAGGAGTAATAGGCACTCTGACTCTCATTTCTGGATTAGTTTCATCTCCAAGCCATGTACCATTTGGGAAATCATCTGTAATAATAATTTTATAGAAATCAATTTTTACAGACCACAACTCACCCTTTTGACAGTCATTTTTATGTCCCCGCTGTCAATAGAGGAGGCATTAAGTGTTACCCTTGTCCATCAGTTTGTCTCAAAATTGGTTTCCGTTCTCTAATTTCAGTTTGCCTCAACCAAATGTTATGAAACTTATACACAATGCTTATTACCACAAAACACAGATCAAATTCGAATTTGGGTGGTGTCACTTTTAACGTTCTCTAGTTATGCGCCTTTATAACATTATATGAAAGCGCGGACATCATCAGTTTTCCATGGACACATTCTCCATTTATTTTATTTGTATTATTTAAATCATCAATGAAGGTCATGGTCACCTTATTTTAGTAAGTGCTAGCCTTTCTCACTAGACATGAGTTATCAACTCACAATAGATCATTCCTGTATGAATTGTAGTTTCTTTACCAAAGCCATAATATTGTTACATTCTGAGATAAAAATAATAAGTGTGTCATTACCATGTAAGTTAAGTTGGGTCAGTCTCATTACACATCTGTCAGATTTCAAAATTGCATTACATACCTTCTGAGTTGAGAGTAATAAGTGTGACATTAGGTCCTAGTCCCATGTTCTGCATGGCATCAACATTCTGAGCTGGAAGTAAAAATCATCTTGAGAATAAATAGTGGTAAATATATTTATAGACAATCACAATATGATATTAAAGCATGATAAAACATATGTTTAAGATTATAGTTATGAATTAACCAAGATGTTGAGACTTGAAATACCAGCTACAATAAGGTAATGTTTATGAAGAATATTTTAGGGATGTTCCATTAAAACATACACTGGACTCGGGGAAGGCGCTTCTACATTTCATCTGTGGATGTAAAATTTTATAATTGGTTAACCCATTTTCATAGTGCCTTCCTTGGCTACCATGCAAGTTTTAATTGAACAGTCCTTACTGTATCAATACATGTATATCAATCAACACATTAAATTTGAGTTTAATACACCAACTGTTACACATTAGTCTTCTAAACCTCTCACAAGCTATACGGTCTTATTTCAACTCTGACATGTTAAATTCACCAGACTTTTATTTAACTCCTTAATGCTGTGCATAAAATATGAAGGTCTAGAAAGATTTCTAAAATAGAAAGTAAACAGAGGGGTGTCTCATCCTTGAAAGCCAAGCATAGTCAGAGGATATATATTCAGATTGCTATGTCAGTAATGACTCATGATTATTCTGTCTGCAACTATAATTCTGGTTTACATTTTGTTTCTGTGTCAGCTGATAAAATCGATCTTTAGACAGCTGTGTTTGCACTGGAATAAACCTCAGATCTGTACAATAATCCAGTCTGCACCATTAGTCACTAGTCTGATGCCGCTGACTAGTATGTTGTTGAAAATCTTTGTTCAGACACTTCAGCATATGTTAAGGAAACGTCGGAATATTGATTGATTGATTGATTGTTGGTGTTTTAACGCCACTTTTAAGCGCCACTTTTGGGCTATTTCGTGGCGGCCAGTTTTTATTGGTGGAGGAAGCCGGAGTGCCCGGAGAAAACCACAGACCTTCGATAGGAAAACTGACAATCCTAGTCAATTAAGATTGGAGTCGATTCGGAATATTGGTCTTCAGACTAGTAGTTAGAAAAGATTTTGGTGCAGACTGATGATCCTCTAATTATGGAATCACTATAGAAATATTTGTACCTGTCTGACTTCCATTCTGTGGTAAACCAACTATTACAGCCCTGAAACAAGATTAAACATTCCATTAAAACTTGTAAATAATGCATAATACATTTTCTTAAACTTTTTAGCAAAAATTGTCTAAAAAATTACCAAATAAAATAATTCTATGTGCACTTTCTTTATGGTGTAATGATTATCGTTGAAATATATTATCAAGCAAATCACTTGATTTTGAAGATGATGATAGATAGTTGATTAACGTCCAGCGGCATATTAATATGCATATTCAGGACTAGAACATGTTAATGTAATATGAATACTAACCCTGCTTTGTACTAGACCGAAACGCAGAACAGGATTTTTAATGGGCTAGTTCACAAGGCAACAGTCCACAGGAAGACATGTCACCTTACCCAGACACATTATTCTGACTCTGAGCCGACCAGTCTTTGCTCTTACCACTTAATGCCATGTGCTAAGTAGAGAAGCAGCAAATACCAATTTTAAAGTCTTTGGTTTGACCCGGCCTGGGTTTGAAATCCCAGCCTCCTGCACTCGAGGTGAATATGATACCACGAGACCACCGATTATGGATTGAGATTGTACATCAAGGGTTAATTGCCTAGAATCATACCAATTTCTAAATTCTTTAGTATTATTTTTTACAAAAATTCAGTATCAAATTTGGATGCATGTTCGAATTCTTATGAAGTCTTATCTATTTAAATTTCTATTCCCATCTTCCTTTTATTGTTAGAGGATTATCAGAAATCATGAAAAACGAGGCAGCATAATGTACACACCAATCAATCAAAATAATTCTGAACACATAACATAAATAAATACCCTGCTCCTTTCTTGGATGGATTAGGGGAAATTTGACTGGTACTGGATCCAGGAACATTTTTTACATTGTCAACCAGTTCATCCATACGTTCCTCCAAATATTTAGTTCTACCATTGAGTATCTCTATACTGTTCTCTATACCATCTAATCTCATACAAATAGCTTTGTTTATTGTGAACAAAAGTTGCTAAAAATAAAAAAGCATGCAGTTCATGTGATGTTTGTCTGACTGCTTTGAGAAATCAGCAAATTATTGTCTAGATCTGAATTCATTAGACTTGATGAGCAGAAAATTTGATTTACATCAGCCTTTAATATTACACTTTGTCAGTTATTTACCAGAAAATACTAAACTGTGTGTAATGCTGTAAACAAAAATATTAAAGAGGTACTAAAATGCATAAAACATGTTTGTTTATAAGTTGATGAACTTTTTATCTAAATAATTAACATCATCATAAAATAGGTACTGTGAATACCTGGTTTATAAATTTGGTATTCTTATTGCAGGGATAAGAAGCCCTACATATCTTGTAAAGTTGTCATGCACAGTAAACACAATATTTATTTGTGACTCAATAAAAAAATATTTCTAAATAGCTTAATAGATAGAATATAATATATTGACCATAAATTTTTTCTCTTTCCTACAATCAAGAACATTTTTTGGGGTTTGAAAACTCAATGTTGAATTTTAAAGAAGAATATGTTTCCCTGCTATGCTCTGATTAGACACTTACTTTGACTGACTGATCAGGAGTAAGGTGATTGTTTTCCTGCTATACTCTGATAAGACACTTACTTTGATTGACTAATCAGGACTAAGATGATTGTTTTCCTGCTATACTCTGATAAGACACTTACTTTGATTGACTGATCAGGACTAAGGTGATTGTTTTCCTGCTATACTTTGATAAGACACTTACTTTGATTGACTAATCAGGACTAAGATGATTGTTTTCCTGCTATACTCTGATAAGACACTTACTTTGATTGACTAATCAGGACTAAGGTGATTGTTTTCCTGCTATACTCTGATTGACTTATCAGGACTAAGGTGATTGTTTTCCTGCTATACTCTGATAAGACACTTACTTTGATTGACTGATCAGGACTAAGGTGATTGTTTTCCTGCTATACTCTGATTAGACACTTACTTTGATTGACTTATCAGGACTAAGGTGATTGTTTTCCTGCTATACTCTGATAAGACACTTACTTAGATTGACTTATCAGGACTAAGGTGATTGTTTTCCTGCTAGACTCTGATTGACTGATCAGGACTAAGGTGATTTTTTTCCTGCTATACTCTGATAAGACACTTACTTTGATTGACTTATCAGGACTAAGGTGATTGTTTTCCTGCTATACTCTGATTAGGCACTTACTCTGATTGACTGATCAGGACTAAGGTGATTGCTTTGCTGCTATACTCTGATTAGACACTTACTTTGATTGACTGATCAGGACTAAGATGATTGTTTTCCTGCTATACTCTGATTAGACACTTACTTTGATTGACTGATCAGGACTAAGATGATCATGTGGAGACTCTGTCTTTATACGTTTAGCAGGAGGAGCTTCATCTGTACTCGGATCTGATAAAAATGTAACATATCATATAGCATAATCTTTCTCCTTATTTTTTTTCTAATTATTTAAAAAGACTACAGTTGTGTATACATAATACTCTTCTACATTGTAAAAGATAAATGCTTTTATTGTTACAATCAAAACATAGAAAGATATGTTCCATGTACATGTTCATTTAGAAACTTTTTAATGGTATATAATTAGGAAGTTATAGAATAACTAATCGAAGAATTCAAATAGAGAAAAATATTCAATGAGTGACCGAAAAAACACATTTATTCACGAATGCATGAAGCGCATGAGTTAATTATCAGTGTTGTTCAGTCAGGAGTTGAATATTTTTCAATATTTGAATTCTTTGATTAGTTATTCTTTTTATTACATTGACAAATGTTTTTTTTTATGAAATTAAAGTAGAAAATGTAAGGAACTATATCTTTTTTCTACGCATTCACAATTTGTTTTGATCCGACGTTATCGACGTCTTGACAACGCCTATTGTTGTATGACGTCAGAGGAGTGAAAAAACCACATTTATTTCCCATGAAATACAATGTATGTATATATATTGACATTTAACTAGCATACTATACATATAGTAATAGATAGCCAGATAGACATGAATACTTTAATCTGTAGACAAACACATCAAACAAAATTTGTAGTTTTCATGATTAACCACAAGCACTATGGCCCAGGCAAGTAAGAATGTAAATTTTCCAGATTTTTTTTGTTATGAAAGGCTGATTTCCCAGCTTGTAATCAAAGAAGTTTTTTGTAAAGACTGAACTTTGTGTATACCTACCACTGATAATCAAACCAGTATCGTCACTAAAACTCTGTGGTAATACGGACAAGGTATTAATAGGAAGAGTCTCTACATTTAGCCCACTTTGATCCGAGTTCATATCATCATCATTATTGTTATCCGATGACATCTTGGAGGAACTGCCTCTAAAAAAGATACACTTTTATTTATAACAAATTAAATATAAGAGTCAAGCTCAACTGTATTTATTTCACTACTGACATGACAGATTGTTTTATTTTAATCTAGCCTAAAATATTCTCTCACAAATTCAAGTGAAAAGTAAGGGACATTTTCATTGATAAAAAGGAGCAATTGTTTCACCTTTGCTCTTGTTTTAACCAAAAACTATTTCATAGAGAGCATATACCTTAGCAAAAGGTACCTTAATACAATTGACTGTTTGCAGTGTTCTACCCAGGGTCTTTTACTTAGCAGAGGGTAGACATATAATAACCAGTTTAGGATACAATCCAATTGATTTCTTGTGCAAGAAATCCAATTTCAGATTTTGAAGAAAGTATTTTTCAAAGTGCAATTCAAATCTGTCAAAAGACACTTACTTTTGGTAAGTAACTTTACGGTGTACATTCTGTATGTTCCTGTCCAAAGTCCAATAAAATGAAGGAGCTTGTACACTGTAACAAGTTGCCAAAAGCTTTTCTATGATTAAGAGATATTGGAATTCAATTTATTTTTCTGTACTTTCTTGATAAATGAATTTACTCTGACAGCAACAATAGCAGTCGAGACACAGGTTTTGTGGAACCCTTAATGAATTTTATATTGATTGTTTACGAGATATTACAACCCTATGTGCTATTTTTTAGCCAGCAGCTATGTTAATTTGTTGGTTAACCAAAAAAAAAAGAAGCTTTTTACTAGATACTTATTTTGAATCATTTGAATTTCAACATAGTTTGATTGAAATTGGTTAAGTAACTGCAGAGACAATAGACACCATCTGAAGATAATAGCTCATGTGAGCTTAAAATAAACCATTTTAAGTTATGGTACATATTGTATTTATTTTTTTTACAGAGGCATGACAAGCAGTTCTTAAATATTGTAGTCTGAATATTTGCAAAGAACCTACACAATTTTGGTAAATTGAAATAATAGAGAGAAACAGCAGATTTTCTTCAAGGACCACAAGGGGGGGGGGGGGGGGGGGGGGGTGGGAGGTGGGAGTTTCAGTAGTTAAGAATTCCAGACAAGATACTGTAGAGTGAGCTTAAGCAGAATACATATATTTTATCATGTAAACAGGTAAATAGCATGTACTAGTCCTCAATTTACTATGACCAAACTGCAGTTTTTAATCGTCATAAAAGTCTGATTAAAAGTTATTTATTATTTCAAAACATTGCAAAAATAGCAGGCATATATTACTAATGATCGTCCTACTTTCACTTTCGCATATACACAATTTGAATTTGTTTCGGCTGCAACATGAACATTAGGATGTTCATGCGAAATGTGTGCATTTTCTCGAGAACGAATACCTTCAAAGTATTTCCATGTCGTACAGCGTCCCATCTTTATGTTAATGTTTTCGTTCAGTAAAGTGAAAGTAGCCCTCACCCACGGGTTTGCATATTTTGGCGCTTTTTCTCAAAAAATACCTTGAAATCCCGTCTGTATCTCGGGTCAACGGTAATGGCGTCCTCGACGGTATCTTGCGAGAGGAAGAATGCAGCAAATGGCGCGTGCGCAAACTTACATTTTAAAGAGTCGCCCGAGTTATTTAAGTTGCAAAATCATTTAGTTCAATATGTTTAAGGTAAAGTTGTTTAAATCTGTGAGGAGTCATGGATTTTTAAAATTCGGGAGATATCAACATTTATATGATTTTGAATAAAACACTAAAAAATGCTCAAACTTGACAGTCATTGTTTGTTCCAAAAGGGGGTGTGTCTGACAAATAGAACTTCCGGAAGATCAGACGAATTTTTCTTAGCAGGTGCCCGTGGTGCTTGATTGCATAAGTGGATACAACTTTGAAAAAACGATGTTATTTAACTGAGGCCTGGGTGTTGTGCATAATATTATAAATGAAAGTTATGACAAAATTCGTACTAAGTCACATTTGGTTGCCAATCCTAATTTATTTTGATTATAAATTTATATATGCATCGTCTGCATTTGAGCAGAATGTGGATACCGAAAAAACTTTCATATATGGACCAGGGCTTGATAAAAAAATAACATTGCCTGTTAGATATTTTTATATCCAACCTGTGGACACCAATAATCATAAGTAAGTAATTAGCTCATTTCTAATATCATTATTTGCTTCATAGTTGAACAGAACATTTCAATTAATCCAACAGTCACTTGGACCTCTTGTTACATTTAACCAACCAAGAAAAAATGGTCCCCCATTTACATTATTCAATATTAATTTTAATGTGATACCTTATCAATAGACACTAAGGCACTTGGAGTATGAACCCCCCTTTATATTTTTAGTTGAACCTATTTCAATAATGTCTGTATGCCATTTTCCAGCTTAATTTCTTCTATTTAACTAATCCTCCATATACAAATTCACTGTAGAGTTGCAACAGTTTATATGTAGAGGGTGGGAAATATGCGAATTAAATGGAATCTGGTGAGCTTTTTCCAACATCAATTTAGTTTATGGTGTATATGGTACAGGTTGAAATTTTTTTTAGTATTGATTGACAAAATGGATTTTAAAAACTTTAGCCAGAAATCATAAGAAAATGTGCTATTTGATAGTTGCCTTGCATGTATAGCTGGTCAATCTGAAAAATTTGCAATAAAGGAAAATTTGTCCTATCAAAGCAATTGTAAAAATACCTTTTAAATTTTATAAAAATCCAAATGCTTATTAAACAAATCTTGATTCACTGTTTAGAAGAAACAAGTTCAAATGTGAAATTTAATCATTAAGACGAGTAAAACAAATTCTCGAAATTAAATTTTATTCATAACATTTAACAACCAATTATATAAAACTAAAAGATGATAAAAAGTGTTCAAAAAGGAAATTTAAGGGGAAAAAATCAAATATATTGATAATTTTTTAAAATTTATTTGCCCATTGAGGCAGAAATTTGTTTAAAAGTTTATGGAAGAATTTATTTTGACGGTGCTATTGAACACAACCTAATTAAAATGAAATCACTGCACTTGCTAATTTTTTTATGCTTGGTCACTGCATGTACATGATGTGGCAATCAAGCATATAAAAATGAGTGAGTGTGGAGATTTGATTTTAATTAGATTGTTGTTGAACTCTTTGTAAGTGTATTTCTGCATATATTATTATTTATAATTGTTCAGATGCTTCATGTAACTATTTTTCACTTTTTACTTTGCTTTACAAATCTGGTGTCATAGAAAATTTCCCAAAGAACCATTTTATCTGTTTCTTTGTAAAATGTTATTACTATTGACACTTGCACACAATGTACATGCACTACAAATGTTTGTTAATTGAAGATATTAATTCATAAAATAATAGAAAAAGACAAGAAATAAAGCATGAGTGAATTATGTTAGCTTTAAGCAATATTGGTCATAAAACAAGGTATATGGTTAAATTAGCATTTAGCTATTGATTGCTATCAAAAGTTCATCTTGCTTTTAGGTGGCAAGAAAAAAGATGTAATAAAGTTTTACTTCTAGAATGTTTATTATGAAAGAAAAATAATTTTAAATGATTGCTATAAGACTCAAAATAGACTTAATCACTGTCATAGACTGTACATATACTATCAGTGACTATAATTCTTTGAAATAAAAGGTCTAAAATATTTGCACATGATAGAGTTACAGAATAAATTAACTGTTTACAGTACAAATTACGAAAAATAATTTGGTAAAATTGATTTAAATATCTAATTGATTCAAAAATTTCTTTTACCCACCCATGTAATTGATTTAAATGTCGGTAAACATTGAAGTTGTCTTCCAAATGCTTGTGAAATATGTGATAAGTAAAGTGTCTAAAAAGCATTATTCAGGGTGTGAATAGAAATTGTAGACCAAGTTTATAAAAAAAGGGCAAAAGAAGAGTCAGTGTCTGAAATCATGATGATTTCTGTGAGCTACATTTGTGTTTGAGGAAAAAAAGATAAAAAAGTGTTTTTGGGATTCATTAAATTAACTTTTCTTGTTTTAAAGCTTGATTTATTTCATTATTCATTGTCAATATGTGTTCTAAAAGTTGAGATTTTTCCTAATATCCGATATCAGTTGGCTAACTTTTGCTTTTGAAATGCACAAAGTTTGAATGGTTTAAACTTTTTAAATCCATGCTATCAGTTCAAATTAGAAAGATTATCATTTTAACCAATTTCCCACTGAAAGAAAGCTGTTCTATTTAGTATAAAAATACTTGTTAATTATAAAGACATGATATAATGATTTTAGAATTAAAGGTAAAAAATAATGAAACAACTTGAAGTCTGCAGTGTCCAACAGTAGTACAACAAACTTTGAAGTTCAGGAGTAGTATTATTTAGCTGGTCATTTAAAGGTGATAACACTTCCAATACTATCAATTTGCTAAGATACTTAAGTCTTTCTATACCTAATATAAAATATATGTTTGAATATTAGATAAGCTGTATACATATATAATGAGGCTTTATAGATTACTGATCACTTCGTTGTCATTAGTTTTGGATGAAGATTTCTTGACACACCCTTCATTCAATGAAACTTTAAAAACCTTCACCCATCCCAAAAATAGATATAAAGTAATTCAGACATATCCTATTAACTTTGGAAAAATATAGCAAGTTGTAAAAAATGTGATGCATCATTCCTCTTATTGCACTTTCATATATAATAGGTTGTCAGTAACACCCTACATTATTAAGGATTGATATGCAGTTTTGATCAACTTAATAATAACATATGTCATGTATGTCATCATCACACAAATTTTCTTCAATCCTTATTTCTTCTTTTTTTTTAGTTGGTTAGAGATCATATTGTATTTCATGAATTGTTTTTATACGACCGCAAAAAAAATTTGCGGTCGTATATTGGTATGACGTTGGCGTAGTCGTCTTCGTATTCAGAAGACACATTGGTTTTCGCACTCTAACTGTAGTTTAAGTGAATGGATCTCTATGAAATTTTACCATAAGGTTCAATACCACAAAAGGAAGGTTAGGATTGATTTTGGGGGTTATGGTACCAACAGTTAAGGAATTAGGGGCCAAAAATAAGCATTTTTGTAACTTCCAGACATAACTTGTGTGTTAGTGTATGGATCTCTCTGACATTGTACCACAAGGTTCCATATCACAAAGGGAATGTTGGGATTGATTTTGGGGGTAATTGCCTCAAAATTTTAGGAATTAGGGGCCAAAAAAGGGGCAAAAAACAAGCATTTTTCTAGTTTCATGACAATCACTTGTGTGTAAGTGTATGGATCTTTCTGAAATTGTACTACAAGGTTCCATATCACGAAGGGAAAGCTGGAATTGAGTTTGGGGGTAATTGCCCAAAGCGTTTAGGAATCAGGGGCCAAAAAGGGGCCAAAAATAAGCATTTTCTAGTTTCCAGACATAACTTGTGTTCAACTGTATGGATCTCTCTGAAATTGTACTGCAAGGTACCATATCACAAAGGGAAGGCTGGGATTGATTTTGGGGTAATTGCCTCAAAATTTTAGGAATTACGGGCCAAAAAAGGGCAAAAAACAAGCATTTTTCTAGTTTCAGGACAATAACTTGTGTGTAAGTGTATGGATCTTTATGAAATTGTACTACAAGGTTTCATATCACAAAGGGAAAGCTGGGTTTGAGTTTGGGGGTAATTGCCCTAAACGTTTAGGAATTTGGGGCCAAAAAGGGGCCTAAAAACAAGCATTTTTCTAGTTTCCTGACAATAACTTGTGTTCAAGTGTATGGATCCCTCTGAAATTGTACTGCAAGGTACCATACCACAAAGGGAAGGCTGGGATTGAGTTTGGGGGTGATGAATCATAATAAGGGGGTTCCAAAAATTTGGGGGAGGGATTTTTTTTCCCTTTTTTTCCTTTTTTTTTCTGTAAAATTTTCCATTTTGAAATGGTTATTTCTGATTTATATATAAAAGCAAATAAGATGATATGGTTTGAATAGGTAAATTAAAAAAATTTAAGTTCTTAGACCACATTCATTCTGTGTCAGAAACCTCTGCTGTGTCAAATATTTAATCACAATCCAAATTCAGTGCTGTATCAAGCTTGAATGTTGTGTCCATACTTGCCCCAACTGTTCAGGGTTCGACCTCTGCGGTCGTATCAAGCTGCGCCCAGCGGAGCATTTTATTTTTATAGTTATATATTCAATTGTATTTTTGAGAAGACTTCATAAGTTTGTTTAACTTGCGTCTTATCTATTGAGCAAATAAAGTATATATTTAAGTAACGAACAGTATAATTTGCCTTTTAAGTAGATATTTAATCAAACTAGCAATAGTGGTAATTGTGTTAGCTAAATAATTCATGTCTTTATATAGAATGGCTGTATTCATTTACCTATTAGGTCTTTGGTTATTGATAATTATTGTTTTACCATACCAAAACTAATATTGGATTTAAGTGAGGATATTGTCCATAATTTATTAAATCAAAAATGCCATTTCAATTCAGAGCTTTACTATTTTGAGGATATTTTCTCCTAAAAAATATATTTTTCTCAATAAAGTCTTAAAATTAAGACATTACTTTGTTGGTAAGATTAAGAAGTCAACCATTTTAAATAACCTGGTTTGACTTCTTTCTTTTTAGACTGAAAAATTTCAAGGTTTTGTTGTCATGATTTAGAAAGCCTCAATAAAATTACAACTATAAAACTGGATACATATACATTTAATTATACAATTTTAATTTTCAATGTATAATTTAATTAGATCTGATGAAAATGTCTATTGATAATAGTTTTTTTTGTGGCAATTAAACTCAGTGAGTTAAAAAATACTGATAGTGATAAGAAATTTTGAAGCATTTAATTAAGATATTATCATCCAACTGAGCATTATATTCCAAATTTGCTGTATTAAAATTTTTTTTCTGCTACAGTATTACAAGGTCCATTGGAGATAAAGCATTTGATGTGACAATAACTCAAGTGAATGGAAACCGTGCTCGTGTGTGGGTACAGATACTTGATCTTCAGGATGGCAGTTATATTGTACGCTACAGGCTGTATGAGTCCTATCCAGATATCATCATAAATGTCAAGTACAACGAGCACAATGTGGCCAGATCACCTTATAACCTCTCAGGTTTGTCATGCCCTAGTCATAGTTTATACATTCTCAGGTTTGTCATGACCTAGTCATAGTATATATGCTCTCAGGTTTGTCATTGCCTTGTCATATTATATGGTACTCTCTGGTTTGTCATATCCTAGTCAAAGTATATAAACTCTCAGTTTTGTCATGACCTAGTCATAGTATAAACATTCTCAGGTTTGTCATGGCCTAGTCATAGTATATATACTTTCAGGTTTGTCATTGCCTTGTCATATTATATGGTACTCTCTGGTTTGTCATAACCTAGTCAAAGTATATAAACTCTCAGTTTTGTCAAGACCTAGTCATAGTATATACATTCTCAGGTTTGTCATGACCTAGTCATAGTATAAACATTCTCAGGTTTGTCATGGCCTAGTCATATTATATGGTACTATCTGGTTTGTCATGACCTAGTCATAGTATATAAATTCTCAGGTTTGTCATGACCTAGTCATAGTATATAAACTCTCAGGTTTGTCATGACCTAGTCATAGTATATACATTCTCAGGTTTGTCATGGCCTAGTCATCTTATATAGGTTTGTCATGACCTAGTAATATTATATATACTATCAGGTTTGTCTTAACCTAGTCATATTATATACACTCTCAGGTTTGTCATGACCTAGTCATATTATATTCAAACTCTCAGGTTTGTCATGACCTAGTCATATTATATTCAAACTCTCTGGTTTGTCATGACCTAGTCATATTGGATATACTCTCAGGTTTGTCATGACCTAGTCATAGTATATACATTCTCAGGTTTGTCATGGCCTAGTCATCTTATATAGGTTTGTCATGACCTAGTTATATTATATATGCTATCAGGTTTGTCTTAACCTAGTCATATTATATAAACTCTCATGTTTGTCATGACCTAGTCATATTATTATATACACTCTGGTTTGTCATGACCTAGTCACATTATATACAAACTCTCTGGTTTGTCATGACCTAGTCATATTGGATATACTCTCAGGTTTGTCTTGACCTAGTCATATTATATAAACTCTCAGGTTTGTCATGACCTAGTCATATTATTATATACACTCTGGTTTGTCATGACCTAGTCACATTATATACAAACTCTCAGGTTTGTCATGACCTAGTCATATTATATACACTCTGGTTTGTCATGACCTAGTCATATTATATACAAACTCTCAGGTTTGTCATAAACTATTCATATTATATACAAACTCAGGTTTGTCATAACCTAGTCATATTATATATACTCTCTGGTTTGTCATGACCTATTCATCTTATATAGGTTTGTCATGACCTAGTAATATTATATATACTATCAGGTTTGTCTTAACCTAGTCATATTATATACACATTATCACTGAACTAGTATATATATTTGTTTAGGGGCCAGCTGAAGGACGCCTCTGGGTGTGGGAATTTCTCGCTGCATTGAAGACCTGTTGGTGACCTTCTGCTGTTGTCTGTTCTATGGTCGGGTTGTTGTCTCTTTGACACATTCCCAATTTCCATTCTCAATTTTACTCTCAGGTTTGTCATGACCTAGTCATATTATATTCAAACTCTCAGGTTTGTCATGACATAGTCATATTATATTCAAACTCTCAGGTTTGTCATGACCTAGTCATATTATATTCAAACTCTCTGGTTTGTCATGACCTAGTCATATTGGATATACTCTCAGGTTTGTCGTGACCTAGTCATATTGGATATACTCTCAGGTTTGTCTTGACCTAGTCATATTATAAATACTCTCTGGTTTGTCATGACCTAGTCATATTGGATATACTCTCAGGTTTGTCATGACCTAGTCATATTATATAAACTCTCATGTTTGTCATGACCTAGTCATATTATATAAACTCTCATGTTTGTCATGACCTAGTCTTATTATATACACTCTGGTTTGTCATGACCTAGTCACATTATATACAAACTCTCTGGTTTGTCATGACCTAGTCACATTATATACAAACTCTCTGGTTTGTCATGACCTAGTCATATTGGATATACTCTCAGGTTTGTCTTGACCTAGTCATATTATATACAAACTCTCAGGTTTGTCATTACCTAGTCATATTATATACACTCTGGTTTGTCATGACCTAGTCACATTATATACAAACTCTCAGGTTTGTCATAAACTATTCATATTATATACAAACTCTCAGGTTTGTCATAACCTAGTCATATTATATATACTCTCTGGTTTGTCATGACCTAGTCATATTGTATAAACTCTCAGGTATGTCATGCCACCAGTAAACCCATGTTGATCTGAACAGATCTTAAAAGACTTAAAAGATTTGTAAGAAGATTTTAAATGCCCATCAAAACTTTGATGAGTCAGCTAATCAGAGAAATTTGGAACCATTTTTTTGGGGAGGAGGACTTGTTGAAATATCCTATACTAATTATGTAGGGTTCTCTGATTTCTTAGCATATCCTCTTCAAATTTGTATGAAGATTTCAGCTCATCAAAACCGTGGAAGAGTTCGCTAATTAGAAAATCGTAAATCTGAAATTTTTCTGGAGGGGGATTGTAAAAGCATCCCACATATTCTTGTCAACAGGATAGTGCCTTCAACTTTTATTAGATCCTCTTAAAACTAGTATAATGTTCCATCTTTTCCACTCATCAAACCCTCACATAAGTTTGATAATCATAAACATCTGGAATGAGGGACCATTTTTTGTAGAGAGAGACTTGTAAAAGTATCCAGAGGGTGAGATATGTGTGCCTGCTCATTTGCTGTTCTTTCATTAACTCATGTGATACACACATTTGTGAATTAATGTGTTGTTTGGTCACAATTGAATATTTTCTATATTTAATTCTTAGATGAGATATTCTATAAATATTTTGAACAACAACCATTTACTAATTTTCATTCATCATGTTCAACTGAGGCATTGTTGGTCTGAGTATTTCATCTTCAGTGGTCATTAGCTTGTCAACACTGAGGTAATTATACACCCCACTTGCGGAAAGGTGTGTTCAACTCTGATCCTAATTATTGACTAGGATTGCCAGTTTGTCCTGCCAAAGGTAGGTTGTAATCTCCAGGTAAATCAGATTCCTCCTTCAGTAAAAAGTGGCTGCAATATTATAGCCAAGTGTGCTGAAAGTGGTGTTAAAATCCAACATTCAATCAATGAAACCAATATTGCTCATTGGTAAAAGCTTTGTTCAGGAACTGCACCATACCTGAAGTGTATATAGAAGTTTCTTCTGAGCAAATTTAATGGCTTTCAATATCAAATAAACTTTATACACAACTGTTGATAAAATCAAAAAAGGATTGACCTCTGGCAAGAAAACTGATAAACAGATGAAATGTTTCTAATGTGATATGAATATTGTATATGATTATGATGCTCAAACAATGATTTTAATGTCTGTTGATGAATATAATAACACCAAAAGAATCTTTTTCCCTCCCATATTTATTAATTTTATATTAAAATCTGATAGAGTTATATTTAAAGTTTACACCTGGCCTTTTTGGAATACTCATGATATAATTTTCAAATCACAGTACACTTTACATGCCACATTAAGCTCGTCACTGATCATCAAACATTTATATATTACAGTTGACCTGTTTCCATAACATTTTTTTATTTCCATTATAAAAAAATTATTAAAATCAAGAAAAAGAAATTTATGTAAATTTTGAAATTTGATAGCCATAGAAACAAATTTAATTTTGTTATTTTTTATGAATATAGCAACACCAATTATTTTAGTTTATAGTTCAATGGATAGCCATAGAAACATAAAGCCATACACTATAAATAATTTATTTTTTCTGTTTTATTTTTCATTCACCAATTTAGTCATTTATTTTATTCTTTGCAAGATTGAAAATTGTTAATCTGATAGGCGCCTGTTTCAAAATATATGTATGGAAAAATCGAGAAGTGAACATGTTTCCAAGTATACAGCTGAAAGATATAATTTTTAAAAAAATCAGGAAATAACTTAATAAAAAATTATGATACTTGAATTGCTTTTTATGTTTAAAACAAATGTGTTATGCAACTATTTTAATATTTGTTTACATACTATTTAACTTCAGGCAATCGTAGTATATCATGTCTATTTTTCATTGAAAAACAAATGAGTGACGAACATAAACATATGGTCTTGTATCTACAGGGCTTGACATTAAGATAAAAGTCCCATCTTCTTTGACCTATATCCATAAAACAAATACTACTTTATTTTTATCCAAAATTGTTTTTTACAGTACACATGTTGACTGCAAATTAAGATTGGTCTCTTAGAATGGAATGCTTGATTGACTAGAAATTTATCACTTGCATTATTTTTTTCAACTTGAGTAACACTTTAAATGGGATGTCAAACCAATCATTTTTATATTGTAGGCTAGGGCCCTAAGTTGAACATTACACTATAGTTAAACTCTTTGGTTAAGTTGACGGTTCTGCTGGAACTCTAGCTCAATCTAACACATCCCTATTTTGTTTTACACTAGAGATACCACAACCTAGGACATATTACCTTAAGCTTTTGTAGTCCTGTAAATTACAACTCATCTTAACTATCGCAAATAAAATAAAATACCTCTTCTAGTATTTCAAGAAGTGCATGTATGATATAGATTAACCCAATCATAATTTTGGATGAGAAAAGAATTGACACCTCCAAAATTGTAGTCTTTGTGTCTGTGACATGTTTGTAAAAGGGAGAAAAAATGATAAGTATGTCATTGTCAAAAAAGTATCTATTATAGCAACACTATAAATGAAAACTTCAAAATTAAAATAATTATTTTTTTTTCTATTTTACTATTACAGATTTAAACTAAAAAGTGATTTAAATCAAAATTTATTTTTATGTCTAGGAATGGTATACCATGAGAAGTGTAACTGTCCAGTCAATAGAATTGAGAAATGGTTTGAAGTGATGGGTTGTCCAGAAAGCTACAACCAGATAGATGACGACCTGTCAATATTTGACAATGTGGACCTAGAAAAAGTTGCAGAGGAAGCTGTATCGAGGTTCAGTAACAGGGGAATGCACAGCCTTAGTCACTACAGAATAATTAATAATCAGGTACGAAAATAACATGATATGTATCATTCCCCTCCCCTTCCCCTAGGTAATGTGCACTCATAGTCACTTCAAAACAATAAATAATAAAGTAAGATATTAAAGTGATGTGTCTCATCTCCTCTCCTATCCCTTTTACAAGGCAATATTATTCATAGTACACTTTTAGTCACTAAAGAATAAAGTGGTACATCTTATCTCCCTTTACCCTTCCACCCGGAAACTTTATTCAGGTAGATGTCCACTCTTACTCATTACTGAAAAATTAATTAGATACATGTTATGCATTTCGTCTCTATTCTCCATCACCCCGCTCATGCGGGTGCACTCGACTCCAATCTTAATTGACTAGGATTGTCAGTTTTCCTATGGAAGGTCGGTGGTTTTCTCCGGGCACTCCGGCTTCCTCCACCAATAACAACTGGCCACCACGAAGTAGCCCAAAAGTGGTGCTTAAAAGTGGCGTTAAAACACCAAAAATCAAAAATCAAATCTATTCTCCATCCTTCACTCATTATAGTATCCATGAGAATTTATAGTCTTAAACATTATATACAGAAACATGGATAAAAGTAAGAATAAAAAGATGTGTGGTTAATGTTCTCTTCCCTACACAGTATCACCAGTACATAGAATAGTATAAAAATCTTCAAATCAAAAAAGGGAAAGAGGAAAAGAAAAAGCTGTAGAGTCCTTTTCCCTCAATGGGAATATGGCTTATTAAGCATGCATTTCAAATGGAAGAAATAATCTTCATAATGAGAATTGTATGCTATCCCATATTGATTTTTAATATTGAAAATTGCACCTCTGAACAAAGAAACAAACCAAATTTAATTCTTGATCTTTTTTTTTTACTATGGCATGCAACAAGTTTAGCCCTCTAACATGTCATAACAGTGTTTTTATATTATCAATGAAGTATTCATTCCAACTAGGATACAAAGTTAGAAACGCATGCTGATACAGAAAGCCTAAAAGCAAACAAATTCTTCACTTCTCCTGTTTACTTACAAGTGATTTATCAGCCCATACATCAGTTTGTAAATCTTGGCCCTGTAGATATGTTGTTTTCAGACCTTTTAATTGAGATCCAGCATATGTGATTAAAAATGAAATTATTGTTTATATTATCTTTATTACCTTTGAAGTACATATTTACCTATATCCGGGTAAAATGTTTATAATGTTTTGATAAACAATTCAGGTGATTTTAGTATTTTGACTTGTACATGTATTTTAAATTCATAGATATGATATGTTATAAACAATAATTTATGTATCATTTCCTGTCATATTTCGCTTAAAAATAGAAAAACACAAATGATATTTAGAGAAAAAAGACCTGATGTATTTCTTCAGATTTTGAATTAATAAATTGCTGCTTTTAGTATTGAGCTGTTTATCAGTCACATTTATTCATATTGAGATTTCAGCATACACAATTAATAGTGATATAATATTTACTCTGGTATAATAACATCTTTAATAAAATTTAAATTTAATCAAAAATATGATAAGGATCTATAGGTTCGATATGGCCCATATTTTTAGCTAAATATTCAATTTAGGATTTATTGAAAAATATTACAATGAATGGAAATGGGTCTTTTTGTTAAAAATTTAAGTATTAGCATTCTTTGCATGACATGACAAATGGAACACATTTTGATTTTTTATGAAAATTCAATGAAAAACTGGTCAATTTCCATTGATTTTTTGGACTGGAAACATTGAGCGCATATGTTGACAAAAAAGATTTATATACATAATGTTTGTTACAACATTTTGCATATCTGACTGGAATATCTAATTTGTCGAAGCCTATGCTCTATGGTTCCTAGTCCTAAATTTGGTTGAATTCCTGATGATTTTGTCAAATTTCACCAAATTTCTACTTTTGACCTATTTTGGTAGTAAATATTAAAGCATTGTATAATTTATAAGAAAAGATTGAAAAAAATAGTTCTATTTCACTTACTTGCATGTCTTTTCATTAACTTGAAATATTTTTTCTCTTGAAACAATGGACTTAATTTTAGGAAACTAACTCCTTTTCAAATCGTTCTTAATTAACACATTGACCAATCTTCTGTATCTGATTTAATCAGCTAATGTTATAATTTGCATCCATCATTCATCACAAATTTTTAATGTTTTTGTTTGTTTGAGTAAAATATTATTAATTTTTGATATTTTGTAAAACATCTTTGAACAGATATACAGGAAGACATATGGAGAACATGTAGGATTTAAGATGTTCAGTGATTCTGTCTTATTATCCTTGACAAGAAAGGTAAGTTAATTAATTGTTACTCCCTTCCTTTGATTGTAACCTTATGATTTTATGCCCCTCAAACGATAAGAGAGGGCAGTATGATTTCCAGTCTGTCTACTCACTTGTCTTGGTCTTCTTCCGTTCTGTGGAAAATTTCAAGTTGAGGTTCAGGTATCTATAGATATGTCAAAACTTTGTAATTGTATAAAAAATTGTATTTCAGTCAATGATAGTGCAGGAACTATTTTATTTTATGTTTTGAGGTTGCAGTGTTAGTTTCACTCTTAATCTTGTCATTTAAAGTTATAGTTTTCTGGTCTGTTGTAATCATTTTGCATTTGTCTAAATGTGATGTAGGTCAATTGACAGGGGAATAGGATTTTTTGTATTAAATTTATGAAAAATGTTTTTCAACAGGTTACCATAATTGATTTCATTTTTTACAAAATTAGAAAATAAAGTAGCACACATAAGTACAGTTATGTTAAAAAATAAATACTCAATAACTGACAATATATATAAGAGCATACATTTCAAGCATAGAGAAACTGTTTATAACCTCCACAATTCAAAACAACAGAGCAAACTCTTTCTCTTTTAATTGTATTGGAAAGAAGTATATGGTGTATCATTTCATTAAATGCACACAAGGAAAAACCAAAATCAAATGAATAAGGCTTTTATTGCTGTTTATCTCAAAGTCACAATGAGGTCTTCAACATGGAGCAAAAACTCCCCCCCCCCCTAATAAGTTCAAGATCCTAGCAAGCCTTAAGCACCAGTTTGAGGGAAATACTTTGCTTGATGTCAACCATGCTTCATCTGTGACTTGCAGAACAGCATTGTCTTATGATTTGAATGTCTCAATATAAAAGAAATTTAAACAATTCAAGTTATATTTTAGGTTGTGTTACCAGATGTTGAATTCTTTGTAAACCTAGGAGACTGGCCACTAGAGAAGAAAGACAAGAAAGATAACCCACTCCCAATATTCTCATGGTGCGGGTCAGATCTCACCAGAGATATTGTTATGCCCACTTACGATATCACAGAGGCCACTATTGAAATGATGTCCAGGTAGGTGTAGGTCAGAGATAAGAACAATATTTGTCCATGGTAAATCAGTATATAACAATGTTAAAAAAAAAATTTCAGAAAACAAAGGATAAATACATTATTTTTTTTTTCAATTTTTAGTTCAAGTTGAACATGCAGCAGTTGTATACAAAAATCTACTTAAAATCTGTGACATGACCATGAACTTTAATGATTTAAATATTCAAACAATTTTTCAAGTAACTTGGGATTAATTTGCTAATGTTAAAAAGGATAAAAAAGATTATATGTTTCATAGTAATCAATGAGTACATTATAATTATTTCAATGTAATTTGTCATCGTAGAACTTTATGAAAACTGATATATGGGGGAAAGAAAATATAAAAAGAATTCAAAATTTGAAATTGGTTGCATTAAAAGAAGATGTTTTCTGATTATAAAATGGAAACTGTTTTGAGGCACCTCCTGGCTTAGTCATTTATTTTCTGCAGCATAAGGAAGGACAAAGAAGATATAAATATGTTACAGGCGGTGGTCAGTGTTCTATTCCCCTGGATGTGTAATGGCCAATACTTTGACCTGCTCCGCACAGAATTGTCGACTGAAAAGGAACATACATCAAAAAGAACTCAACATTATATTTTTAAATTTAAACTCTGTCTGGTCACTCTGGTGAACCAACGCCTGTGTGAATCATTTCGATTGAGTCCCTGAAGTGAATACCTTGGTATGCAGGGTTGTCTAATTATGCAAATGAATGCAACATTTAAATAATACCCAAAATTGACAACAACACTTCAAATGGTCTGCAATTTTATTTACTTATTATGGTCTACATATTTCGCCTGCAAGGCAGGCGTCATCAGAACAATTTACATACAGAAATTAATTACTGAAGTACTCAAAGTGGTACATTGAATTTGACGTTGTCAAGGTGAGAGAAACCATGAAAAGTGAAAGTAGCAATAAAGTTTATAAATAGATAAGACAAACTTTAGAAAAATAAAGTTTGTATACAATGTAACTTGAGTTCGTTTTACTTTTATATGATACATGACATTGTTCTAAAGGCTTGGTATCTAAATGGACGATCTTCCCATGGTTCCTACCACTTCGCATTAGGCTTCTCTTCCAACTTGGCCATTGTTGGATGTTACTACTTCCTGGCGCGTCGGCAACAATGGGAAGATTTTTGTCGCCGCAAATGGAAAATAAAATTGTCAAAAATTGTTCCCTTGTTAATTCTTTGGTATATATATAATTTTTTGATTGTCTGCTGTAGTTAGTCTGTTTATCAACATGGTTGTAAATTTATAGTTCATTTATGTTCCGCACCCGCATGGTGTGTGGTACGTTTCTTCTGCTATCATTTATAGATGTACATGTATGTAAGGTGGTATCAGAAATCTTGGTCATCTTGGTTCAGTTGCTATATATATTTATAAATGTACAACAATTAAGTAAAACATTGTCAAATAAAATCAAGAATAGTTATTCTAAAGTCTGGTTCAAAACTTAAATGTTATTGTGTAATTTTTGCTGTGTTTTAGAAGTGAGTAAATCTTGCCAAAATATTCCCAATGTATTTGCTAATTGATAACTCAAGAGGAATCTAAGGAGTCCAGCAAGATGTAGATTGCCAAAATTATCTGGATTGTTTTCTATTGATCATGATGAGAAATAGCCTAATTTAGACTGAATTTAGAGTGCAGGAGAATGGCAGCATTACTTCTGGCTTTTACATGTGGAGATGGTCAGTTCTCCCCACTGCAGCAACTACTGATCAAGTTTAAGAGAAATTCATATCATTTTGATCTTTCTTAAGATATATCAAATGATACATTATGATAGAAATATTGACTCAACGAATATTCAAGAAACTTGTACAGTCATATTTAAGTTGAATACCTCAGCAGTTCAATCAATAAGGCTACTTTATATTCTAGTTTGTTTATTAAATCAAAGTAAGCATAAAATTAGAATCTTAATAAAAAAAAAAAACCCACTTAATCTAATGAATGGAGACTATCCAATTCAAATCCATTACAAATAATTTTTCAAGGAAACCAAATATATTTCTAAACAGGACTTTTAAGATTAAATGTTAATATGAGAAAAATAGGAAACAATTATTAGAAAAGATTAATATTCAAAAATTAAATCATTGACATTGTCAGAGCTAAGTGTTAACTTTTTGTTGATTGTTTTTTTACTTTTTTGTGTGTAATCATGTCTTTCTTAATTGTATTGGGCGGTCCTCTGTGATCTGATCTGTCTTACTGGATTGATATGTTCTTCTCTTTATTTAAAATAACTAAAACTGATGTAAATAATTCGTATATTTATCATCTTAATAGAGTGTTAACTTGTCAGTAATAGTTTTTCATTTCACACTTTCAGAGTTTCCCTAGATGTTTTCTCAGTGCAGGGTAATACAGGACCACAGTGGGAGAACAAGACAGCTAAAGCATTCTGGAGAGGTAGAGACAGTCGACAAGAAAGACTTGACCTAGTTGTGTTGTCAAGGAAACAACCTAAAATCATTGATGCAGCATTAACACATATGTTTTTCTTCCCTAAAGATCCTGAAAAATATGGAGAACTTGTCAAAACTATTTCTTTCTTTGACTTTTTTAAGGTATGAGGTACATAGTATTTTATAGTTTTCAATAAAAAAAGTAGGGTACATGTTAATTAGACAGCAATCTAAAGACACAAAAAAAACACAAGGAAAACAGTCTTTCTTAAATTGTTTAACATTTCACAGCGGTATAACATGTTACTTTTATTATTCTTCCCTTAGTTTATTTATTTTGTATTTACATTGTATCATAGATCAAATTTATTTGTTCAGTGTATGTTCACTGGTGTTAATATGTCTTTTGATTGAGTTAAGCCATTTCAATCGATATTTTATAGTGTGTCTTTCTATGTTGTGATGTTACACTATTGTTTTAGATAAGGGTGAAGGTTTGGTACCATTAAAACGTTTATACATGCTGCAATTGTTTGCACCTGTCCTAAGTCAGGAATCTGATGTTCAGTAGTTGTCGTTTGTTAATGTGGTTCATAAGTGTTTCTTGTTTCTCGTTTTTTTATATAGATTAGACCGTTGTTTTTCCCGTTTGAATGGTTTTACACTAGTAATTTTTGGGGCCCTTTATAGCACGCTGTTCTGTGTGAGCCAAGGCTCCGTGTTAAAGACCATACTTTGACCTATAATGGTTTACTTTTATAAATTTTGACTTGGATGGAGAGTTGTCTCATTGGCACTCATACCACATCTTCTTATATCTATATTCCATAATCTAGAATTTTTGCAATTAAATTTAACCATGACCTGTCAAGTCTACTACACAAAATTTCTGTAAATGTCATACGCTTCTAACAAGATACTTTTATGAAAGGAACTTTGAAGTTTTTATTATTCCCTTTTCATGGAAATTGATAAATCTCTGTGGGGTCCACCAAAAATTAAGATAATCATTTGAAACTAATTTCTGTTAACACTGAAGAATTTTCATTGAATTTTCATTGTTTAAGCTGGTAGGTTGAAGCATATAAAGTCCTTCAATTTTTATAAAAAAAAATATTTTTAATTGACACTGATATCAATGTTCTTTTCAGTATAAATATCAAATTAATATGGATGGTACAGTGGCAGCTTACAGATTTCCATACCTACTAGCAGGAGATGCTGTTGTTTTTAAACATGAATCTGAATATTACGAACATTTTTATCATGATCTTCAACCATATGTCCATTATATTCCATACAAAAAAGATCTAAGTGACTTAGTCAAACAGATAGAGTGGGCAAAGAATCATGAAGAGGAGGTAAGATATAATTGACTTAGTCAACAGATAGAGTGGGCAAAGAGTCATGAAGAAGTAAACTGTAAGTTACTTAGTCAAACAAAATAGAGTGGGCTAAGATCTCAGTGACTTAGTCACAACAAATAGAGTGGGCAAATATTCATGAAGAGGTTGTAAGATATAAGTGACTTAGTCAAACAGATAATCTGCATCGTTATAAAGAGGGTGTACAATCTACGTGACTTAGACAAATAAAGTGAACAAAAAACTCATGAGGAAAAGGTAAGATCTGTGTCTTAGTCAGACAAAAAGAGGAAACAAAGAGCCATGAAGAGGAATTAAGAACCCAATGACCTACTCAAAACAAATACTGTGGATTCATTTATTTTCGTGGGTATCAATTTTCGTGGACAGAGAAAAAAAGACGTTTCGTGGTATACGTAAATTCGTGGATCGCTGATTACAAAAAAAAAAAAAAAATTCAGATACGTAATTCGTGGATTTCTTTTTGAATTTGGAGATCATATAACCTCCTTGGTTTGATCAATAATAAAACAAACAAAAAAGAAGGAATTCATTGAAAAAGTTTTGAATTGTCAAAATCCTCCCTTGGTCATTCTAGGTTAAAGTGTTCATTGAAAACTTCTATTACAATAATGGACAGAGACAACTAATTATTTGTTTGTTTTACAATTTATAAATTCTTGTCGGAATTTTATAAGGCATTCAAAACTCTATGATTGAAAGCTCATTTCCCTAATCACGATATAATAAACAGTCATATAAGTAAAAGGTGTGAAAATAAATGTTCCTGTCATAAACAATGTTACCTACGGGCAATATCCCCGTACTTAATCCTATTGATTTTCAATCACCAGTAAACCAAACTATGACATGGTAATTAACAACTTGCAGTTATTTTCCATGAACAGTTTTAATCAATTTTAAAAAGTACATTATCACTGATATTCGATATATTTATTATTGATTTAATCGGAATACTTGTATCTTCTTTCAATACACGTGTTATGTTACAATGTTTATCGCTAGTCAACACTATACTAGAACTGCATAACATAACCGGAAATAAACATCCGACTCCATACACATTTCTCGGGATTATTCTTCGTTGAATTCTTAAATTCGTGGTTCGCTGTGACCCACGAAACCCACGAAAATTGGTATACCACGAATAAAAATGAATCCACAGTAGAGTGTGCTAAGAGTCCTAAAAAGAGGTAAGACACTAGTATTAGTGACTTAGTCAGACAAACAAAGTGGTTGAAAAGTTGCATGAGGAAGTGAAATATTATGCTTTAATGAAATAAATTGTTTTGTACAGGGATATTTTATCTTATGTTTGGATTTCCAGAGAAAAAATGCAGTTCTATAATTGTTCCTGTATGTCTGTCAGATGACTCCTTTGTTTCAGTAATTTGAGAAACTTTAAAAAAAAGTATATATGACAATCAGATTGTGGTACCTTTAGCAATCTAGGAGTAATACTTTTTATACGACCGCAAAAATTAAAAATTTTTTGGTAGTTTATTGGTATCACGTTGTCGTCGTCGTCGTCATCAGCATCGTCCGAAGACAGATGGTTTCCGGATAATAACTTAAGTATAAGTAAATAGAAATCAATAAAATTTTAACACAAGGTTTATAACCACTAAAGGAAGGTTGGGATTGATTTTGGGGGTTATGGTCCCAACTGTTAAGGAATTAGGGGCCAAAAAAGGGGCCCAAATAAGCATTTTTGTAGTTTCCAGACAATAACTGGTGTTAAAGTGTATGAATCTCTCTGAAATTATACCACAAACTTCCATACAACAAAGGGATGGTTAGGATTGACTTTGGGGGGTTATGGCTCAAACCATTTAGTAATTAGGGGCAAAAAAGGGGAAAATCAAGGGTTTTTCTGGTTTAAGATAAAAGCAGTGTAAGGGAGGTAATCCAATCCAAATTAAAGAACACTGTTTGATTACCTCCCTTACACTGCTTGTAAATTATGTATTAAGAAATGATGATTGTCTTGAGGTGATTAGCTGTCAATTTATTTTTAGCAGTTACTATTAATTAATATTAATTTTAGCCATGACTATGTATGTCATTTTATATTTTTTTACTTTAATGATGTATTTAAAATGGGTAATTTTGGTTGCAAACTGCATTAGAAATTTGAATTGAGATACTGACCATATCTTGAGGGAAAGAATTTTTTTTGGGAATAAGGGAAAGGGGGAAGGTGAAAAAAATTGGAGGGGGGACAATTTTTCTCATTTCAGATTTCAGAAATTTAAAGAAAATTTCTTCAAATATTTTTTTTGGGGGGTTAATATTCAACAGCATAGTGTATTGCACAAAAGCAAAAAACCGGGGTAAAATAAAAATTTTTTGGTAGGGGGGGGGGGGGGGTCAATTCGCAACAGCATAGTGTATTGCACAAAAGCAATAAATTGAATATAATATTCAAATCATATAACCAATTTGAAGTTCTTTAACTACAGTTATTCTGTGTCAGAAACCTATTATGTGTCAAAAATTTAGTTACAATCCAAATTCAGACCTGTATCAAGCATGAATATTGTGTCCATTTTGGCCCAACTTTTCAGGGTTGGACATCTGCGGTCGTATCCAGCTGTGCTTAGCGAAGCAATTTATTAATTCTGAAATAATTTTAATTCTTTGCTTACCCTGCAATAATTTTAATTCTTTGCTTACCCTGCAATAATTTTAATTCTTTGCTTACCCTTTAATAACTGAAGAACATATAAGTACAAATAAAATTACCTTATTATTTTACAGGTATTAAAGATTGTAAGCAATGCAAGATCCTTTGTGAGAGAAAACTTGTTACCAAAAGATATATATTGTTACCATGCAAAAGTGTTCAATGTAAGTTCACTATTGTCTATAGTGATAAAATCATCATGAAGTTTGATGTAATAATTGCTACCTTATCATCAGTGGATATGAAATATCAATCCATCTTCATAAAAAAAAAGTTTGTAGTCTAAGTGGAGACAACTCTTTTTTTAAGCTAGGGATATAAGCTTTTTTTTTCAGAAATATGTAGCAGGTACTTGTTATTTTTACAAAATGAAAAAGAAAATCCGCAATGTTTCCTTACCCGAATTGGCTCAAACTTTTTACTGGTGATTGTAAAAGAATAAAACTGGTTTGTGCCCTACAAATATCTTGTTTTGTTCTGGATTGAAAAAAAATCACATAAACTTAAGCTCAATATCTCAAGACTTCAAAGATAAGTCTTATTTAGAATCGTCCTGAATATGCATGAAATATTTGCCACTGGACGTTAAGCAACCAACAATCAATCAATCTTATTTAGAAATAAGAAGATGTGGTATGAGTGCCAATGAGACAACTCTCCATCCAAGTCACAATGTGTAAAAAGTAATCAATTAAATCTCAAAGTACCACATTCAACATGGAGCCTTGGCTCACACCGAACAGCAAGCTATAAAGGGCCCCAAAATGACTAGTGTAAAAACAATTCAAACAGGAAAACCAACGGTCTAATCTATATAAAAAAACTAGAAACACTTATGAAACACATCAACAAACCACAACCACTGAACAACAGATTCCTGACTTAGGACAGGTGCAAAATGCAGCAGGTTTAAACGTTTTAACAGGTGCCAACCTTCACCCTAACCTGAAACAGTAGTGTAACATTACAACGTATTTGTCATTTTTATGCCCCCGCCGAGTGACGTGGGCCTTGTATGTCAGTAAGTCCCAAAATTGGTTTCCATTCTTTAACTTTAGTTTGCCTCAATCAAATGTTCTGAATCTTATACATAATGCTTATTACCACCAAATACAGTTTGAATTTGGGTGGCATCACTTTCATGGTCTTGAGTTGTGTCCCTTTATAAATGGAAAAAATGGTGAATTTGCCATTTCTGCACTCTCACTTTACTTTGCCACAACCAAATGTTCTGAAACTTATACACAATGCTTATTACTACCAAACACAGATCAAGTTCCAATTTGGGTAGGTCACTTTCTGCATTCTTGAGTTATGTCCCTTTATAAATGGAAAAATTGGTGAATTTGCCGTTTCCACACACTAACTGTACTTTGCCTTAACCAAATGTTATGAAACTTGGTACACAATGCTTATTTCCACCAAAATATCATGACTACATAAATATCTGATGAGGACCAATCAGAAAGTAGATATGACCAGAAGGAAGCTAATTAGCTTGTTAGACAGAAAACTTAGATGTGCTGATGTCATGAATGGTTAATGATGTGCTATATCTAAATATTCAGGAGATATTTCCCTATTATGTACCTCGCTTAATCTATGAAAAAGTTAAAATTTAAATGTATATATCGTATGTATATTTTTATGAAAGAAAACTTGTTTATTTTGAAATATGAAATATATTTGTATGTATATATATGGTCTAACACAATATAAATGTTTTTATGTTGTATTTACATTGTATCATAGATTAAATTTATTTACTCTGTGTATGTTCACTGGTGTTAATATGTCTTTTGATTGTGTTCAGCCATTTCAATTAATATTTTACAGTGTGTCTTTCTATGTTGTGATGTTACACTATTGTTTCAGATAAGGATGAAGGTTTTGTACCTTTAAAACATTTAAGCCCGCTGCAATTGTTTGCACCTGTCCCAAGTCAGGAATCTGTTGTTCAGAGGTTGTCGTTTGTTGATGTGGTTCATAAGTGTTTCTCGTTTCTCAGTTTTTATATAGATTAGACCATTGGTTTTCCCGTTTAAAAGGTTTTACACTAGTAATTTTGGGGGCCCTTTATAGCTTGGTTTTCGTTGTGAGCCAAGGCTCCATGTTGAAGACCGTACTTTGACCTATAATGGTTTACTTTTATAAATTTTGACTTGGATGGAGAGTTGTCTCATTCGCACTCATACCACATCATCTTATATCTATTCATTTTAAATTCAGTTTTATTGAGATAGTTTGGATTATATTTCTTTTTCATCATGATACCTGTTGTGTTCTATTTTACAGAAGTTTTCCAAATTATTAAAATATAAACCCAAATTACCCGATTCTAGCTGGGAGTCAGTGGAACAGCCTACAGACAATGATGCAACATGTGACTGTAAAAGGTCAACAAAGTCAAAGGTAACAAATCATTGTTAATATTGTCTGATCAAATAATGCTTATATTATAACTAATAAGATGTGAATAAAAGGAGATATGAGGTTTATATTAACAAGACAGCAACCAAAAAGCACAAAAAGACCAACAGAGGCCTAGAGCCTACAGCCACCATTAAGGAATTACGATCTTAATGGTGTATAATAGTGACTCCCCCATGTTAAATTATGCTACTGTAAAATTAAGTTGATGCCAAGCACAACATAATGCTGAAACAGAAACTTTGTTTGGAATGCGTTTGATTTATTTATTTAACAATGTAACTTGGTATGGCATTTAATGATAGTGTAATATTACTGTGAACATCAGTATACATTGGAACTGATAGGCCCTATTATTAGGGCCTCAACGAATGGCGGATGCCCTATAGTGATCCGTCTGTCCGTCCGTCGGTCCTTCCATAACAAATTGTGTCCGCTCTCTATCTAGAGAACCATTATGATTTCAAAGTTTATACTTGACATGTGTATTAACCAACACCAGAGGGTGTGTCATAATGTATGTACAACTTCCTAGGTCAAAGTTCAAGGTCAAAAACTTTGGTTTTAGTTGACAACCCCATGTCCTATGGTAAAGATCGTGTCCGCTCTATATCTTGAGAACCGTTATGATTTCAAAGTTTATACTTGACATGTATATAAACCAACACCAGAGGGTGTGTCATAATGTATGTACAACTTCCTAGGTCAAAGGTCAAGGTCAAAACTTTGGTTTCAGTTGACAACCCCATGTTCAATCATAAAGATACAATTTTTTTACCACACATTATTCACAGCGGGCCCACAGAGATGGCTCCCATCTCAATGATATCTAGTTTATCGTGGTATGATCATCCAATCACACCAATTTACTACCTGTATGTTACTATTTATGAATACTACTGACCATGCAACAGGTAAATAGTCCCTGTCTCTCATTCATGCTTTGCATGAGTTACATCCCATAATAATTTAAGTTAGCATATATTCTGTGTAATACCTAGAAACAGTATAGATTGATGCCTTTAATTCATATCTGGTTTGATGTTTAATCATGGTGTGTAGAAGATCATATTCCTTATATGGTTTTAACAACTTTTTTAGCAATCTAATGAATTCATTAATTATCCTTTTATACATAGTAATAGTGAACACAACAAAATAAAGTATATTTTGAAGAATATCTCTTATTCGTTTGTTTGTATGCAAGTATTGTTTTATTGTTTTGAATTTGATTTGACACTTTTTGCATGGGTTATCGCCTAAGTACATGTATACAGTAAAACCGTCTTAATGGCTAATTTGTCAAATACTTTCATGTTTTTATACTTTTAATTTTAGACAAAGGAGAAAAAAGATGAGTTGTGACAACATAGTGTGTTTCCATGACTACATAAACATCTAATGAGGGACCAATCAGAAGAAAGATATGACCAAAAGGAGGCCAATTGGCTTGTTAGACAGCTAACTTAGACGTGCTGATGTTATGAATGGTTAATGATGTGCAATATCTAAATATTCAGGAGATACCTTAGATCCATGACTGTCATTATTCATAAGAGAATGATATTTAATTTTGATTTTGGGCCATTTCTCCATGACTTCATAATTGACAATTACTATCATGTTATACATTTTGAATATTTTAGGTCATTAATGAAGATTTTTTCTTTTGTTACATTTTAAAGTTCATAGTATGCTAATGATATTTTGTTGCAACACCAAACCAGTTTTTTGTTGTTGTTTTTATCATTAATTTTTCATATTGCATTGAAACCTGTACATTTGTTAGTTGAAAAAATAATCAATTACCATAACAAACCACATTTTTCAAAAGTTTAGTGCTTGGTGCTTTTATTGTGATGCTCCGAATCAGTAAATTTAGTTATTTTTATCAAAGGTGTACAAACATTTTCAGAAACTGCCTTTGATTTTAAAAAATTTGAATTTATTTTATGATTCGCCTTTCATCTAGTCGCATGTTTTTAGTGTGGGTTACCACAGATATATTTATTATATTACTCAATGCAGGGGTTCAAATTAGTGTGGGTCTGAAGTAGAAAACCTGTCTATTCTAGGTGAGAACTTTTCATTTTTGAATTACACAAGTCAAGGACCTGCCATTTTGTACACTGATGCTTTATATAGGACCTTTTATTTGAAAATTCAAATGGTCCTGGACCTTTTCACTATTTAGAGCAAATTTGAACCCCTGCAGATTGGCACCACAATATATTGTTATTTATATGGGTAAATCTTAGCTCTAGTTTTTGTTAGGTATCTTATTTAGTTTTCTACAAAATACAATATTATTGATATTATTTGCACATTTATTGGTAGAGCACTTTCATCTGCTTCATTATACACATCTTTAACCTTTATAGCTTTTTATTATTCACTCAGATGATTTTCAGAGGTAAAATAGTGCAATCAAATCCCTATAACTTTTAGATGGTTGGCTATAGTTCAGCTAATCTACTCTTCAAATGGGGCTATTTTTCAAGTATTTTACATTTGTTTAGAATAGTGCTTATATTTTCCCCATTGAACTGTATTTGCTAGGTAAAATGTATAAGTGGTGAAAAAAAACTTCCATTAAAATATTCTGACATAAAATCTTCTTATAAAGAACTTGCAAAATATTTCACCACGCAAAATAGCTGTGTTTACATTAATTTTTATAGGTGCTAGTTGCATGTATATAATCTAGTCAAAATACATGAATGAATAATTATATTATTTATATAGTTTAGAATATTTTATAGTGTTAATTTTGAGAAAAGGAAAGAAAAATTGTTTATAAGGATATTGGTAATGTTTTATACCAAATAAAAATAACTTTAAATCATACATTGTAAGATAACCATGTATTACATCTTCTGTCATTTGTCATTCATTCATTATGTATTCTTTCAATTTATATGCCCTGTAAAAATGTAAGCCTTCAATGTTTGAGCCTTACACTATGCAATGCATAGAGTCTAAGAAGGGGAACAGACTTTAAAATGTTATTGTACAGTCATTCATTCATCGGTTTTTGCTGTTTGTTCACGAAATGACATTGATCCATGATTGTAATAATCCCTTGACAAGGATGATGGAACATTGCGAAAATAACATCAAAAGAATTTTTAAAGGCTTGTTCAGGCAGAAAATTATTATTTTTAGTGCATATGTAATTCTACATATTCAACAGTCCTGAACTATCTTAATACATGTATTGCCAGTGTATTATGATGTTGAGTCCATAAGGTCAATACTTATCTTCTCATGTAAATTTTACATGAGCTATTATTTAATTACATTTTGTCAAATTAAGTCATTATAAACTTGTTTAAAAAACTGATTGTTGGTCAGAAAGTGTATATTATTTTTTAGGATGTTTTCCATTATCTTCTAATAGCTATTTTAATTTGTTTGCTTTCATATGAAATTTCCGTCCTTTACATATAAATATAGTCAGAAGTCCATTCAAAGTAATGGGTTTCTGTCATTGTTTTTTTCATCTTACAAAATATTTTTATATGAGATTCCTACACAAAGAAGTGCATTTCAATTCTTTACTAGTCTTTTTTTTCTTGCTGATTACCATTGTAGACCTTGATACAGAAAGACAATTTTATTTTTTGTTTTATTTTTCAAGATAGATATGTACTCTAATTTTAATAAAAAAAATTATAATTATATTATGTTTCTATGTTATCAATCGACGGCATTATAATTTTGGCCCCACTGACTCTATAGTCAAGATGCTCTAAAGAAATCACTTGTCTGTTCATCTGATTGGGTAAACAACTTGGCACTAAAGTTGTATTATACCGGTAGCAAAAATACCTATTTTCTAAAAATGGCAATGTTACTCAATTACTGCATGTGACCATCAGAGAATATTTCATTTTGTAGATGCATAGATTTACAATGTTATAATAGGATATACCTTGGGATATACCTATAGGCTTTAAACACTGTTGTTGGTTTTTTTTGCATATAAAAATAGTTGAAATTAATTGCCTTCCTGGCTATTATATCAAACGAGTGCATACTCCTGTCTTCTTGAGCAACAATGTGCCACTAACAAATCGTCTCAAGGGTTTTTGTCATGCCTGTGAGTAATATCAAGGAAGTGAGACATAGCAACTCTACTTTCTGTCATCGTCCTTCTTGGCATGGTCAGCATTTAGGTTCAGTCTATTTAAAATAAAATTGAGAATGGAAATGGGGAATGTGTCAAAGAGACAACAACCTAACCAAAGAGCAGAACACAGCCCAAGGTCACCAATGGGTCTTCAACACAGGGAGAAAATCCCGCACCCGGAGGCGGACTTCAGCTGGCCCCTAAACAATAATATGTACTTGTTCAGTGAAAATGGACGTCACACTAAAAGCTTTGTTAGACATCAAAAACTTTGTCAACATTTGTCTTCATGATCAAGAAATAGCATTTAAAGAAATAGATTTTTTATTAGTTTGACTTATTTTTATGCTCCACTTGGGGGCATTATGTTTTTCGGTCTGTGCCTCCATTTGTTCATTTGTCCTTCTGTCCCACTTCAGGTTAAAGTTTTTGGTCAAGGTAGTTTTTGATGAAGTTTAAGTCCAATCAACCTGAAACTTAGTACACGTGTTCCTTATGATATGATCTTTCTAATTTTAATACCAAAGTAGTGTTTTGACCCCAATTTCACGGTCCACTGAACATAGAAAATGATAGTGCGAGTGGGGCATCCGTGTACTATGGACACATTCTTGTTTTGGCAGTCATCATTTCACTTTTACACTGACAGCAGCAACCTCAGGTGAGACACACGCTTTTGGTGAATTTGTTTAAATTATAACTTCTTAATTGTCAAATACTGATTCTATAGCTCTCTTCGAGACTAAGGCAATTCTTTTAAAAACTAAACTTGGCTTTAGTAGAAGTTAAAATTGTCACATTAAACTTTACCTCCATTTTGTCATCAGTAACACATTATAATTTAAAAACCATTGGTATGAGAGTTCATAAGTTATTGAACGGAGACGACATAAAGAGTCATTTTCCAATAGATCAAGGACCACAACTCCTGAACAGTAAAATTGAAAATCGTCAACATTGAATATGACCTCTATTTTGTAATCAGTAACAACATATTAATTTGAAAACCATTGATATACGGGTTCATAAGTTATTGAACTGAAGTGACATAAAGTGCCATTTTCCAATATATTAAGGACCATAGCTTCTGAAAGGTAAATGTGAAAATCATCAATATTAAACTTAACCTCCATTTTGTCATCAGAAACAATATATTATATTTTGAAAACCATTAGTTATAGTAGAAGTGTTCATAAGTTAATGAACTGAAGCGACATAAAGTGCCATTTTCCAATATATCGAGAACCATACCTCCTGAGAGGTAAATGTGAAAATCGTCAATATTGAACTTGACCTCCATTTCGTCATCAGAAACATCATATTGTAATTTGAAAACCATTGATAGAAGGGTTTGAAAGTTGTTTAACGGAGATGACATAAAGTGCCATTTTCCAATAGAACAAGGACCAGGACTTCCGAACGATAAACGTGAAAATCATCAATATCAAGCTTGACCATTTTGTCATTATGAACATGTTAAAATTTGAAAAGCATTGAACGGTTCATAAGTTATTGCAAGGAAACTCTTGGCAGCCCCCCGCCGACCGTATTTTACCAAATTAATAACCTGATTTTTCCTTCAGAAAACCAAGTTAAAAACATGGTTATTCAGAGGCAATAACTTCTGTAAGGAGTAATTTGTTAATTTCATCCCTGTTGACTTATTTATAGATTGTGCTTAATATCTTTGATATTTACAATAACCTTAGTACATGTTATGTTTCTTCCTAAAATGGGTAACAAGAGTGCACACGCTGAAATGTCTCGCCTTCTTTACTAATCATTTATATTATGTTGATAGTCCTAAATATAAAGCTTTATTACAACTGTCACATAAACTTAACATTAACCAAGTAAACTAAACATTGACCAATGAACCATGAAAATGAGGTCAAGGTCAGATGAACCATGCTAGGCAGGCATGTACAGCTAACAATTCTTCCATACAACAAATATAGTTGACCTATTGTTTATAGTTTAAGAAAAACAGACCAAAACACAAAAACTTAACACTGAGCAATGAACCTTGAAAATGAGGTCAAGGTCAAATAAAACCTGCCTGACTGACATATAGATCATAAAATATTTCCATACACCAAATATAGTTGAACTATTGCATATAGTATTAGAAAAAAAGACCAAAACTCAAAAACTTAACCTTGACCACTGATCCATGAAAATGAGGTCAAGGTCAGATGACACCTGCCAGCTAGACATGTACACCTTACAATCATTCCATACACCAAATATAGTAGACCTATTGCATACAGTATAAGAAAAACAGACCAAAACACAAAAACTTAACACTGAGCAATGAACCTTGAAAATGAGGTCAAGGTCAAATAAAACCTGCGTGACTGACATATAGATCATAAAATATTTCCATACACCAAATATAGTTGAACTATTACATATAGTATTAGAAAAAAAGACCAAAACTCAAAAACTGAACTTTGACCACTGAACCATGAAAATGAGGTCAAGGTCAGATGACACCTGCCAGTTAGACATATACACCTTACAATCATTCCATACACCATTTATAGTTGACCTATTGCATACAGTATTAGAAAAAAAGACCAAAACTCAAAAACTTAACTTTGACCACTGAACCATGAAAATGAGGTCAAGGTCAGATGACACCTACCAGTTGGACATGTACACCTTACAATCATTCCATATACCAAATATAGTAGACCTACTGCTTATAGTATCTGATATATGGACTTGACCACGAAAACTTAACCTGGTTCACTGATCCATGAAATGAGGTCGAGGTCAAATGAAAATTGTCTGACGGGCATGAGGACCTTGCAAGGTACGCACATACTAAATATAGTTATCCTATTACTCATAATAAGAAAGAAATTAACATTACAAAAAATGTTGACTTTTTTTTCAAGTAGTCACTGAATCATGAAAATGAGGTCAAGGACATTGGACATATGACAGACGGAAACTTCGTAACATAAGGCATCTATATACAAAGTATGAAGCATCCAGGTCTTCTAGCTTCTAAAATATAAAGCTTTTAAGAAGTTAGCTAACGCCGCCGCCGCCACCCCCGCCGGATCACTATCCCTATGTCGAGTTTTCTGCGACTTTTAGGTTCGACAAAAACCATATTTCAAGGGCAATAACTCCCATAAGAGATTAATTGACGATTTCCCCTACGATGAATTATTTGTAGATCTTAATTTGCTGAACACTTTTGCCCTTATAGTTTCTATCTATTTAAGTTTATGCTAAAAAAAAAAATGCAAAAAATTAGTAAAAAGAAAAGGGCAATAACTTATATAAGGGGTATAGAGATGATTTTGTCCATGTTGACTTATTTGTAGATCTTATTTTGCTGAACATTTTTACCATTGATAGATTCTCTATCTTTAAGTTATGCAAAAAGTGCAAATATCTCCATTAAACGGCAACAACTATAAGGGGTCAATATTCTAACGTCAAGATATCTCACATAATATATAAGATATCTTAAATAATCTAGTTTTTTTCAAGATTTCTTATAAACTTTATATCTTTTATACTTTATAAGATTCTGATCCTCATACACTGACATGATCAAAACCCATACATGTTAGTGTCAATTGACCATGACTGTGTGAGTCCAGGCTTAATCTTCATAGAAATCACTTGTGTAGATGCTAAAGCATATTACTGTTGCTCATCTTCAGTTGGAGTTGGTCCTGATAATTTTACCCATCAAGAAACTAGGAAAAATTTGTAAGGGTTCCTTGGAACCCAGTGTCTCGCCTACTTTTGGTGTTAATTGCAGGTTCAACAAAAATGAGAAAAAATTAATAAAAACATTCCTCTCTATACTATCTTTTGATTGTAAGTAGCTTCTGTCCAAGTTTGGTAAAAATCCAGGATAGTTTATGAATCTAATAAATGTTTTAAAAACTTAAACTGCAGAATGTATGTAATGTTGACTGGAAGAAAAACTAAGTCCATTTATAAGTAAAATACGGAAAAAATGGAACAAAATTTTATCAAAATTTCCTTCTAGATACTAGCTTTTAATCATAAACAAGCTTCTGTCCAAGTGTGGTACAAATCCAGGATAGTTTAGGAAAGTTGTTAAAATTTTAAAAACTTTAACCACAGAGTGAATGTAATGTTAACTGGCAGAAAAACTAAGTCCATTTATAAGTAAAATACGGAAAAAATGGAATTTTTTTTACAAAATTTACTTTTGAATATAATCTTATGATCATAAACAAGCTTCTGTCCAAGTTTGGTAGAAATCCAGGATAGTTTAAGAAAGTTATTAAAATTTCAAAAACTTTAACCACAGAGTGAATATTTGTGGACGCCACCGCCGACTATGACGCCGACGGAATGTAGGATTGCTATGTCTCGCTTTTTCGACAAAAGTCGAAGGCTCGACAAAAACACATTTCAATGGCCCATGAATAAAGAAAAGAGGACGAGTGGTTGAACACCAAATAATATGATGTAAATGTGTACCAAACATAATTGACCACGTCCTGTTAAAATGATATTTATATCACTAGTTTTTTAACTCAAAAGTATCAGCAAACAGATAGTAGGTGTGCGACAGATCTGAAAAGTCCTCACATGTTACCACTCATCACTGTCGAGCTGCTGACCAAAATGACCATTCTGTTCAGCGGTACCTGAGAAAAATGTGACAGAAATATTTGTTGGACAAACTGCCAGACAGAGGGACAGACAAGGTGAATGCAATATAGCCCCAACTCTTAAGAGTAGGGATATTTTAAAACGACAACAAGCCATCATTGCTTATTTTTTATATGAATTTTTATTAATGAATATTATTATTTCAATAACCATACACAAAAAACCTTCATTTATTCCATATCAACAAAGCAGCTAGACTGCATTTCTCTTAAGTAAATTTTATTACTGGCAATATATATATATAACAAATGGTCTCTAGCTGGTAATCAGGATGAATAGTTTGATTGCAACTTTGTAATAAAAAAAGAGTACATTATTCTTAAAACACAAATCTTGGCATACAAAGACAGAAAAAAAACAAAGCGGTACATTTTCCATATGTAAACAAATAATAATTAAACAAAGAACATGAGTTATAGTGTTAAAAAAATTATGAGTAAAAAATGCTGTGAATTGAGAGAACAATTGGTGCAAATTCAGAAATTATCAAAACATTTTTGTTTTCTTAAACATGTATTCTTTTATTGTAAAAAGTGGGTCTTGATAAAAGGGAGATAAAAGCTGTTTTTCATTCCATTGTAAATCTTTGTCAAAATTGTAATAGCTTCTTTTAAAACTATTAGCTAATAAGTTTTAATTTAAAAAAAAAACCACTTAGATGTTTTAATTAAATATCATGTTTTCCACCTTCATCTAACAACTAATTATGAAAAATGTCGATCATAAAACAAAATTAATCTAATCCAAATAATGAAAATACTTTATACCCTCTTTCTAGATTTATTCAATTTTAATCTACTGGCAGGTTTTAGTAATTTTATTGAATATTGCTATGAGATGATTACAGTAAGATGAAAGATAAGCACCTGCTGTTAGATTAAAACAGAATAAACCTTAAAGTCTTGTACTCTCTCTCTATCACATATGCAAATCAGATGAATTTAAAATGCAAAAAGAAGAATTCTATATCATTAAATTCCAAACCAACCCATACTGCTATTTCCTAGAACTTAGTTTACAGTTTTTTAATTCATTTTTTATTTCATTTCTTTTTTTTACATTTTTTTTTTTCATTTTTTTTTACTAAGCTCTACAAAATGGCAAATTTTGATAACATCTGAGGTGCTCCCATTAATATCTAATCAATTACCTTTCACCAAAGGAAGCGACCAGAATAAGGAGGTAAATAGGTGTATTCCCTCCCCTTGCCATAAACCCCCCCCCCCCCCTATTAGCTCCTCATTCATCACACCTGGATTGTGCTTTCTGTGTTCAAAGGTTTAACACATGACATAATACACATAGAATAGAACATGACTGTGATGTTTAAAAAAATGAGAGCTGATTTATTAAATTTTGATCCATATCATATTCAAGTGTATACTCTTTGTTCATAGATAAATTCAAGTCACAAAAAAAAATCAAAGAAAAGGTAGCATCTCAAAATCCTTTCTTCCACTTCTAGATTTATCATATCTAAACCAACTGGCAGGTTTTGGCAACTTATTTGAAACCAGTCTACTAAAAGTTGTAAGAAGCACCTGCTGTTTGGCTGAAAGAGAATAAACCTTCACAAAATATGATCTTTCTCTCCCTCACACACACACACACACACACATCAGATGTATTTTAAGTTGTAAGAATACTTTTGTATCCAATACAACTTATTAATTTCAGAACAACCCCTGCTGCCATTTCCTAGAACTTAGTTTACAGTTTTTTCTTCTTTTTTTTATAGTTTTTTTCTTTTATCTTTTTTTTTCTTTTTTATTTCTTTTTTTCTATCTTTTTTTACATTTTGTCTTTACTAAGCTCTACAAAATGACAAATTTTTATAACATCTGATGAACCCTTAAAAAAACTACACATAATTATAAAAGTATAATAAATTAACTTTCATCAAAGGAAGCAACCAGTATGAGGAGGTAAATAGGTGTATTCCCTCCCCTTGCAGTAACTAAAACCTATTAGCTCCTCATTCATCATACTTAAGATTACACTTCCTGTGTTGAAAACTTGAAAAAAAATATAAAAAAATTATACACTTAATATATAGCATGATTGTGATAATTTAGATATAAAATGAAAATTTATTATCTAAATTTTTTGATATGTAATATTTAAGTGTGTCTGAAATGCATTTTCAAAACTACAGTTTTCAGTACACAATGTTATACTCATCCAAGATTTATCCAATTTAAACAAATTGACAGGTGCTTTATTATTTCAATACAAGAACCGTAAAAAAAAACCTGCTGTTTTGCTGAAAAAGAATAGACCTTTACATAGTCCCTCTTCCTCTTTCATACACAGCATTTTTCCTTCCTCTTAGATTAATCTTGTTTAAACCATAAATGCAAAAAAAAAAAAACTAGCAGTGACAGTCTATTGTCAAACCGCTCGTTAAAAAATGGTTATAATATTATGAGCTTTATGGTTGAAACAGGATAAATCTTTACAAATGAATATTCTAACTCTCTCAAATTTTAACATGATGACTTTCAAAATCTAAATTTTGAAGAAGAAAAACACATTTTTAATTAAACATTGTAGGTAAGCAGTGAGCTTCAAAAAGAAAAAAAAATCTTCAAAAAACCTTAAGCTGACTCTCTATCCCTTTCACACATTTCATCTCTAAAAATTATATTCGACTTTCTCTCCTCAAATTTATAACTAATAAATAAAAAAGTTCATGCTAAACCAAGTTTTTATTTCATCACTAATTATATTCGTTAGTTTTGTTGTTTAATAAGTTTCTTGTCGTGCAAATCATATTCCTGAGTCTATTTTTTTGTCTTTTTTTAAGTCTCTTGTTTTGCACAACATATTCCTGAGTCTATTGTTTTGTTTAAGTCTCTTTCCCTTGTTCCTGAGTCCATTAGTGTTTTAGTCCATATTCCATCACAGCAAATTAATTGTGGAGTTATATTTTGTAACTGAGTCTCTCTCTCTTAAAAATTATTTTCTGTGTGTTGAAATCCTTCCTTCATTTTCACTTTTTTTCCAAAATATCCAGACTTGGAAGCATCAAACATTACCTACAAATGGAATGAAAAATTTTATCACAAGATACTTAAATATAAAAAGGAGAAACAGTTTTTCTGTATTGCAATAATTGCTCTTCATAATTGTGTTAATCATTGACAGTTTAGATATGTTTTGCTGCTAAGTGCAGAAAGGTTCTTGATTTTTATACCATTTGGTGTCCAACGTTGAATTTCCATTTACAATGCAAGCCAGGTGGTGAATATTTGGTTTTAAGAATACAACAAGATGCTGTCAGAGCGACAGCAAACCGGATTATTTAACATTTATTTGTGTCCTGGCATTTTTCAATATCCCAAGGACCATAACTCCTGAACGGTAAAAGTGACAATCCAATCATCAATATTGAACTTGACCTCCATTTTGTCATCAGAAACAACATATTAAAATTTAAAAAGCTTTGGTTGAATGGTTCATGAGTTAAAGCAAGGACATGAATGGAAAGACCATTTTTCAATCTTTTAAGAACCATAACTCCTGAACGGTGTAAGTGAAAATCGTCAATATTGAAGTTGACCTTTATTTTGTCATCAGTAACAATATATTAAAATTTGGAAAGCTTTGGTTGAAGGGTTCATGAGTAAATGCACGGACACTGTTTGGCAGCCGCCCGCCCACCATACAGCCCCAAATCAATAACCGATTTTTCCTTCGGAAATCCTGTTAAAAATGTTTCAAATGGTAAAACTATACCATTCTGTGGTTCTTGCATAAAAAAGCTGAACCATACAGTAAGATGTCATTTCAGCCCTATTTGCAAATCTGATTTGATGATGGTATAATATTGTATTTATAAATAATTCATGAAGAAAAAAAAAACCACTAAAATTGTCTCCCTTGAAATAATTTTCAGCAATGCATTATATAATAAATTAAAAAGAAAAATCCTAGTAGTTATTTTTAGTTAGAAATAACTTTATAGTTTTAAAAATATAGCAGTATATTATACAAAATAATTCAATACTGTTATGTGTCAACTAGTTTTTAGGATATAAAATCTGGGAACAGTATATACTAACGGGAAATGAATCTGATACGCTTTTCAGTATAAAATTGATAAAATCTCGGACTCCCCGAGATTTACGGATATTGGTAGCGTCTGACTGAAAAACTATCAGAACTGCTCAACAAATAAACCACATAACTCTAATTGTAAATAAATACAAGTTTTATCATTTAGTAGATATATTTTGTCATATAAAATTACCAAAATAAGTTTGATTTATTTGATGTGAAGTGTTTTATAATAGTTTGGGAATTTGTAAATCATCGCGGCAATGGCCGCCATTTTTTACACTAGCATCACTATAAAACTAGTTTGAATGACATTTTATAGGTAATATCAGAAATTATTAGGATAATAGCGAGTCCTTTTTTAACACGTCCGTTTCTGTATCGTATCTTTATTAACTATGGCACGACGATAAAATCGACTAAAATCAGATAGTGTCAAGTCCCGTCAATATATATATGTTCCTGATAAAATATAGTAATATCTACTGTTCGAAAAAAGCCAAATAACTGTCACCCGAATTCTTTAACAAGGGAATTTTGTACAAGGATACAACCAAACTCTTATCAATGCATTTGTGAAGTGTTATAATAGTAATGCTGACTTACCTAAACATCAGATAGTCTTTATCTTAAATCATGGCACTTTGTGAATACCAGCAATGCATGAATGAAGCTGAAAAATAAATTTATCATCTTATTTTACTGTCATGAGATACTTATTTATTCTTCAATTTCTGTGTGAAACAATTTAAAACCAATATAAAATATTACTAATTTCTATTTTGGATTTTGTGTCTTTTTTTATAGATATTCTGTAAAAGTAAATTGATCTGAGCAGCTGCTCTAAAAAATCAGCCTTCGTTGCTCACCAGTGTCATAAAGATAATTTTTGAAACAAGAACAAATTCCTAGGATAAATCACATCTATCATTCTGATTGGATTTTTCTCTTTTGTATTTCCCCTATATTGCCACAAATAAGAGAGTTCTAAGGTCTCAACCAGATAGTGGACTAGGTCTTATTGATACATGACCATTATAAATCGTTCTAAAAATTAAAAAATAACTTCAGAAAAATTACCTCATGATTTGCATTGAACCACTTCAGACTTGAGGTAACAATCTCTTTGTCAACTTCCTGTTTGCTATTTTCATCCTGAAAAAAAGTTCATTTAATTTTCTTTATGAAAAATAGAAGAAAAAATGTTTTCAAGTTAAAATAAATGATATAATTGGAAATGCATAATGATTTTAATGATATTCAAAATTTAATTCCTATAACTTTGAAATATTTCATTCATACTTTCTTCTAATAATAATCATGATATGGCACCTAGTGACTTTTCTCTGTGTGTTTCTTGAATACAAAGATTGAATGGATGCATCAAAGGTGAAAATTATTTCCTAAATGAATTTAAAATAAGCAACTTACTGTTTTGTTGATGAAATGTTGTTTTTCATTCTCAAGTCTATCAGAATTTTTGACAGCAATTTATCTCAATTTTAGTTCTACACTGAAAATAAAAAAGTAAGTTCATATATATATCTTAAAATACATTTTTGTATTAATTATTAATAAAATTATGTAAATGATCTTCAACCCCAAAATAATTTTTCGGCGAAAGAAGATAAATTCACCCTGAATGGTGAATTACAACTGAACATAATATCAATTCTTTCATATAAGATTTAAATTTGAATGTGTTCCAGTTTAAAAGACTATCAACACCCCCATTGAAATAATTTTTTCTTTATGTTACAGAATTTTGACTAAAAATCATGTTAGTTTTTGCAAAATGTTGTTTTCACTAGTTACTTCCCCTTAAAGATATAAGTACACTTGAAAGAGCAACAAAACAAAATCATTGCTTTCTTTACATTAAATATTTTTTAACAAACCTGAGATAAAACAGGATATAACTTCCACGTCCTGCAGAAACATTGAATTAACCTTTGTGTGTGATGTCGGCATCTGAAAAAGATGTAAATACTAGCTATAAATTCAGAATTTTTGCATGCATTTATTATTGATTTTTAAAGAATGGATGGAAAAGCGAAACTAATTATTGCAATTTCTGAAAAATCTGCATACATAAATATGCATTTGATATCAGAATGAGAGTTTTGTATTGTGATACTCACCCAGTCACATTATTTGCAGTTATAAAAAACAATAATTTCTGAATTTAGAGTTTATATCTAAAATCCATATCAATATCAAAATCATTTTACTGCAAAAGAAGATGAATCCACCCTGAATTTCCAATTGCAAATTAAACTTATTCCTTATTATAGATTTAAATTTGAATGTGTAATCTAGTTTAGAAGATAACCACAATCCTTTGAAATTTTTATGTTACAGAAATTGACTGAAAAGAAAGTTAGTTTTTACAAAATTTTATGCTACTGCCCCTTTAATAAAGATATGTCATTTAAGCAAAGCAACAAAACAAAACCGTTGCTCTCTTTTCTATAAATCTTTTTTTAACAAACCTGAGATAAAATAGTACCAAATTTCCAAGTCCTGCAGCAACAACGAATTAAACTTGTGTGAAGTCAGCATCTGAAAAAGAATGGAATAACTTTTGTCAATGAAATAACATCACCACTGGCACTTTATAATTTTTTATAATCTATTAATGGGAAATCTACAAAATGTTGAACAAATAAATGCAAACATTTCAATTTTTAAAGTGTTTAAAAAAATATTACTTAGTTTTTTTCTGCTTATTAACTTATCAGTTAGCAATGCATTACTGTGAATAATCAAATATAATTTTACCTCAAAACAAAACAGTATACCTTAAAATAACCATGGAAATGCCTTGATTTCTTGATACATCTGAAATGACAATCTTTCTGCCATCATCAATGGAAAGTTTATCTTCTTCCATCAGACCTTTGCTCTGGTCATGGATAATCTTCTTTCATAATATTCCATCTTGTTGCAGCCATTTGATGTCCAGTTGCAATTATTTCATGCATATTCAGGACAATAACTCCAGTAGGTAGGTTTTGCAAAATTATTAAACCAGGATGAAAGGTATAAAATTTAAACTACCATAGAAAAAATGGACAGAAATTTTGCCTTGCAACAGGCAACCTATAAACCCCTCAGAGAGTTGTTGCAAGGGTTCTTTAACGTGCAGAGATCACTCTCCCTACACAAGGCATCTGATTTAAAGTCAACATTCAGACTGGACGTTTCTGTATATTTAATATATTACATCTCGCAACAAAAACAGCTAGATGGCCACTTCAAATAAGTTTTACTGCTGGATAGGAGAAGTCCAGATGACAATATTTCTATACCCTAATCATCCCTTGGTGTTTCCCCAATTTGGATAAACCTGGTAATTTTATATAGATGAAATGTTTGAGATTGCCTCTATAAACCAACTTTCCCCCTTCCAACTTTATTTGTAATTTGCTTATTTATATTCTGTTAAAAATCTACATTTTGCCCACAATTGCATTTTTCATTATGGCAAAGCATAAAATGGACAAAATATCAAAATGTTCAATAACTGTAGCATCATAAACTGGAATTTCATATTTTCACTGTTTTGTTATTAACCAAAAAAAAATAAAACCTTTTTGAATAACTAAGATCATATGTTTGTTCAACAAAAATGAAATTTTGTTTATTTTTTTAAAAACTAAATTTTTTATTTATTTATTATCTATTTTAACTCTATATGCTTTTTCAAAGGTACCATAAACCTCTCATCTAATAATCATAAAAATACTAAAAAGTGTGTTGGGAATTATCATACAAATTTTAAGCAAACAGATATTTTAGAGAGAGTGAAAATCAAACTGATGCAAAAAGGTGTGTTTACACTAAAATTAAACTACTATTTATATCCAAATTGATAAATGATTGAAAATGTTGTAAAATATTTTGTTTATAGAAAAGAAAAAATCCTGATATGTTGTGTCAAAATCGCTACATGCATATGAGAAAAAGCACTTTTAATGAACTTCTTCAAAAACACCACTTTCTAAATATTCCTTCAATTCTATAAGTTTCGTAGTTGGAGAAAATAAAAAGGGAGCAAATCACATTATTTTCTGTGAGTAACTGAAATAACCACTTTCTGTATACTTATTGATCAAGAGCACTTCGCCATTTTTCATAAAAGACTATTTAAATCTTTTGTGTGAACAAAGGTTCATTTAATATTAATATATGGGCTAGGGTGCATTATATATTTTGTCATGACAGGCAAGTACCTCACTAAAATAAAACAAATGAAAAACATGCAATATGTGTGCCAAAAGTCTGTAAAGTGTCTTCCACCCACTGTGCTCAGCAAATGATTTTGATGTCATACCCCTAAAACTTTAAAATTCCTGGATCTGTTCCTTTTACAAAATGCTTTTCAGCAGTTGTAATCTTTATTTAAAAGTTGTTAGGGCCCGCCAACAATCCCATTAAAATTATTCCAGTAAATGATATAAAAAAAGTCAGATCTCATTATTTCAAGTAAATTTCTTTCTCTATGTTAATTAGTCTTTATAAGTTTTAATTACAACAGTACATTCTATATAACACTGAAAATCTATGTGATAACAAGAATTGTCTGTCAGGATAAAAGCATGTAAAAACTGGTAAAACTATATAAAACTTCTAAAAACAATATAAAAACAGTTTAAAATCGTGTAAAACACAGCTAAATCTTGTTATGACAATGGTCTAATAAGAACATTTTTTAGAAAGGTCACATCTCCTTCGAGACAGAAGCAAGAATACCCTGATCATCTGACAATGATAAGTAAAATAAAATCTGATAAAAGAACTTTTTTTCTGGTGTAATTATCTCCTTCAAATAAAAGCAGAAATAAAAAAATGGACATCATTTTTTAAATTCCCGAAAACTTAGTTCTTAATTTCGTGTACTGAATAGGCTGAGATTCAGGAAATATCGAAAAATGGGTTAACCAAAAATTGCTGGTCAAGGCAAGTCAGACACATAAATTCCATTATTTTTATTTTAAAGAATATAAAGTACATGTATGTTTTATAAGTCTGTTTATATTTAGTATAATAATTTCCTATTAATCCTATTTATATCATTTTGGAAATTTCCCACTTGTCAATTTTGTAACAAATTTTTGGTTGTTTTCATTTTTCATTTTTTAAGTATATACCTAATTAAAATTGGTGTCTTTCTTTTAAATAGCAGAGTGCATTTGATCCATTCGTTTTGTAATGCACAGAGGGTTTTCAAGGTGAATGATCCTAGGAATTTTCAACCAATTATACTATAATTATAATAAATAAGTCATGAAATTGTTCAAAATTAATATGTAGAAAGTAGCATTAAACCTAATAAAAGAGACAAAATAAAGTTATCATTGGATGAAAATGTCCATAAATATCAAATCAAATGACCTCTGTTAGCAACAGAGTGTCAGCATAAAACCTTTGTATTTTATTATCTCCCATGAATTTTACCAAGCGTCTATGGTTTATAGTTCATGTTAACACATCCTAAAATAATATATATATATATATTAACATCTTTTGATCTTGTGTTTTTAGATTTTCAACAAATTCTGCATTCATATTAGCAATTTAAATCCTGAATTTAAACAAAAAGGGGTTCAATATCAACAGTGTATATATAATCTAGAAACAATACAAAATTTAATTTTACCGTCTGCTCAATTTCTTAGAAAAGTTTGTTTTTTCTATGGTCTTTTTCATATTTTTCTATATTTCTAAAGTATTTTGAATGAAAATGAGACAGCAAGAAACTCTTCTACAATGTGTAAAAATACATGCTTAAATTCATATATGATAATGACAACAGAAAAATTTCACTAAAATTAACATTTTTGAATTTTGCAAAAATATCTGTTGTTTTTTTTAAATCTGCTTAAAGCATTGAATATTTAAAATTTGTGAATACATTTAAAACAGAAAACAATAAAGAGCTGCTATCAACACCAAATTCTCTAATTTAAATGATATGACAGATACAGACAAAGGATCTGGACAAATTCAGTAAATGAATAATATGCACTACACTGGTTATATAATTTTGAAATAATTTATTAAAAATCTAATTTTTACTAAGTGACACCCATAGAAAAAACTTTTTAAAGCTTAAATATCAAATAAATAAACTTCAGAAATGCATAACTAAGGAACTCTTATAAAAACTAAGACAACATTTCAACTATCAAATAAAGGAAACCATTCAAACCAGCAAAAAAGCAAGAAACAAAGAAAATACAACTCAGAAATGACCCATGACGCTTAGACATACCAATGATAAAGAAATAAAGTTAGGTCTGTTAGATTGTTAAATGTTAGTACAGAAATGGCTAGTAAGTAAGATGTATTTCTGAATTTATTATTTGATATTTATTTGCATTAGTACAATTACTTTTGAATAAAAATATTTTTTTCTGTCAATTTATAATGTAGCGCACATATTCCCCTTTACATAAGGTAATTAATAATGACCATTAACACCTAATAATATCTTGTATTTATTGAATTGC